CCTGCAATCGCTGTGAAACTGGATAGCCTCCACTGAACCCATCACTTTCATATTGAAATGGTGCAAATCAGCTTTTTTTGGGATGGGAGATGTGTGAAAATTATAACCACCGCATAAAAAAAAAAACCCACACACACCATTCTTGTAGGATCACATGAGAATTAACTACTGATGTTGCACTTAGTTTGGTTTCTTGAAATCTGGGTTTTGATTAACTGTAAGCCACAATCTGTGATATTAACAGAAATAAAAGCTTCAAATATGTTACTGTGATACATAAAAGTTTAACTGAATTGCTGAAATTGTGTATAATTTGAATGTCTTATGAATCAAGTTTTTAACTTTAAGAACTTGTGAAAATAATCAGAATTTATTTACTCTTCAAATCAACAGCCAGTGTCTCTGATCCAACAAACCTGAATCAAATGTCTAAATTACATCCTTCGTATGCAGTCAAGTTCTCCAGAATCCTAATGACCTGATTATTTGACTCAGGTGTGTTGAAGCCGGGATGCAAATTTTCACCTTCAACCTCTTTCTACAGGAATGTTTTTATCAAAGGTACAAGACGCACTGAGATTTTATTGTTAGCAAAGGGCAGTAACAACGAAGGGAATGTACAAATGTAGAGAGGAAACAGGTTCTTTTCTCAGCTCAATGCATAACACTGAAGGATTATGACTTGGTTATGACACAGGTTACATGTACAGTAAAAAATGTTTAAAGCAGCTTTAAAAGTCCTTCCTGGAGATCAATAAATGCTGTGCTTTCTGGCGGAACCAAGAGATCCAATACAAAAGCAACAATAACGAGAGAGCTTTTGTACAGCTTAAAATGCAAGCTAATGTGTAACCATAAAAAATTGTAAAAATATCTAACATATGAACTAGATTAGTGGGACTGAGAGATATTAAATGAGTTTAATTGAAATTAACCTCAGAAAATATTAAACTAAATTTAGTTGTTTTCTTCTAAAAACTCATTAAGGCAATTTGCTTTAAAATAACTCCTTTGCAAAAAACAGGTTTAATAAAAACTGGTTGGGAAATATTAGAAACGTCACAGCTTTGTTAGGAGCAGCTGGGCAGATGGAGAAGCTGGATCAAAATAAACAACTGCTTCTTTTTGCATCTTTTTGATGAATAAAAAAAGAGCAGTCTTTATCACTTAGTCACTACGTCATAACATGTGGAAGAAGTAGGATGTTTCCACATTAAAGTAAACAGCAAACTGATGCAACAGATCCCAGACAGCCAATCTGAAGCAGTCCCTAAACATAAACTCCTTCAACATTAAGAAAGTTAGAGCAAAACTAGGTTGATAGGGCTCTGTAGCCTTTACTGCAGTAAAAAGGCAACTAGACATTACATAACAAGCCAAAGTAAAAACTTGGGTGTTATTGTTTAGTATTTTAAGTATGACCCAGATGCTTGTTGTGATTTTTATTGTCCGTTTTGCTTCAGCTTTTCCAGCCGCTGCAGCAGAGCGTTTCCAAACGCTTCTCTGTATCCCGGACTGAGCGTGTCCAGAAGGGAGTAAACGGTCTCGTGGTACTGGGTGTTCAGCTCCTCATTCACCTCATCAAAAGCATACCCCACCACCTGTTCAAGTAGAAGATGAATTAGTTCTTTCAAAAACAAAAACAAAACAAAAAAAAAAACTTCAAAACCTCTCCATCCCCAGCGTCTCCTACCCTGAGTCCGGCCTCGGTCAGCTCCAGACAGTAGCGGTTCCCCTCTCTCGTCTCCACGTTGATGTAAGCCACGTCCAACGCGCTGGTGAGGCTCTGCGAGACGTGCATTTCTGTTACGGCGAAGAGAACGTCGTTGACGATTGCGTCCGCCTCCAACCTCATGTCCTTGACGTCTCCGAGTTCAACTGAGTCTTCATCAAAGGCGGATGATATGGACTCCTCCGGGGGACAGTCTACCTCCATCTCCTGCAACACAGAGCAGCAGAGTTTACAGGCATCGCTGCAGCTTTGAACTTAAGACTCTGAAGATGAAATTGGGTTTGTGGTGTTCTTTATTGTTATGGAAAGCAATACAAAGAAGTCACTGGTTTCTATAGCAATAAAGTAAACTAATAGAACAGCCTGATTGATGGAAAACACAATTTTGTGCAGTGAAGCAGCTCTTTTTTCTTATATCATTATCTGACTGTGTGTCATGTTTGCCAAAAACAGAAGTGAAAAACAGACATGTGACATCTGACTGTTCACCAAGCTCCATTTTTAAAATACACATGTGGGCATCAGGTGTCTAGTCAAATAAATAAAACCAGTTTTAATGGAAACACGATTGGTTTTCTTTTCTGTTCCAAAATCTTCCCAAGAAATAAAACTAAATAATTCCCTCATCTTTCTCCAAGCATCAAGTCTACGAAGTTCATCACTGCTAATCTTTGTATTTCCCAAGGATATATTTGTAATAACCACTAATTAAGGTAACACCGGTTGTATTTCGACAGTTTTCTGCATTTCTTGAACAAGTTGAAACGTGCCTTGGTCTCTTTATGCAAGTGTGCAGTTCAACTCGGCATTTCTGTGTGTCAGCATTTGCAAACTGCTTCACATGTGGCTTCGTCATCATTTTCTCAGTTGGCTTTGTGTCTGCGATGGAAGTGACACTGGACAGCCTCCACTGAGCCTATCACTTCTATATTAAACAGAGAATCAGCCTTTCTATGCGAGGGGAAATAAGCAGAGGATCATGTGAAAATGAATTACTGATACTGTTTTGTGCTTTTCTGTTAGTTTCACTGGTTTTGGTTTTACACAAGAATTTTGTCAAAACCTCTTTGTTACTGATTAATAGCAGGACTGACTGATATATTATGATTTAAACATCCAGGAACTTACAAACCATTCAAACCCAGGCCTTCGTTACATATCGTCACAAAGGTTATGCGTTCAATGGATTTTATGTGACAGACCTATTAAAAGTAGTCCATACTTGAAATGATACATAGTTTAAAATAATGTTATGCAAATAAAAATCTGAATATTGTGCAATGCATTGGGATTCACTCCATTTTAATTTGATACCCCTAAATAAAATCCAGTATGAGCAATTCTAATGTGTCTTTTAATCTCAGTCTGTTTATATTTATGTTTTTCATTTGAAATTGGTACAATTTCAATTTATCTTAGAAGGAGGATTTTTTTTAAGGTGTGCCAGTAAATGTGCTGTCATCCCACAAAAGAACCAGTGATTCAGCTGCTTACTCAAACCCACAAGATAAAAACTGATACAGCAACAGCAAATGTATCCTTTTAATTTAAAAATATATGCAGAGTAATCTAGATTGCAGCTTACAAAAATCTATTGCCAAATATAAATATGTAAACATATACACAAGTTTATTATTGAGTGTTAAGTTTTTAATGGGAAACAAAATGATAGAAAACTAAATACAATCTATTTTACTCGATTTCAGCATATAACTTGCACTTTCGTATAAACGTTCAAAACTAAAATAGCGACATCTTGTGGACATCTAAGAATGAGACGAATATTTCAACATGAGCTTCAATAAACTGAAACATGTTTTATATATTTTATTTTTCTTAAAGGGATGTAGGTATGTATATCTATAAGGCTATTTCCGAATTCAAAGTTAAGCTAAATTTGCTACTAACGGGAGAACAACAACTGAACACCTATATTGTATTTTGGTAACACTGTGAAGATATTAAACATGAATATGCGTATAATTTAAGGAGAAATAAAGAGTTGAGGTATGGTTTAAAAATGTTAAATCCATTTTAACGAGGTTTTAACTGCGTTTATTTTTCTCACCTCCTCGTTGGTTGTCTTCTTCCGGCTCGTAGAAGCTTCCAGCCTCCTCTCTGAGCTGCTCTGTGTGGGGATGGATCACTCCGACCAGTTTCTTCTAGCCTTGATTAAAATAAGATTTATAGCAACCGAAAGAGAGGATAGAATCTCTCTTAGCTATTTTATTATTCTACTAAAAATTGTTGGCCACACAAAAGCTTGATAGGTATCTGGATCAATAAAAAGATGTACCACGAGCATAACGGTCTTCCCACTTTATGACATCACGAACTAATCCCACCCCTGAGTGTGATCGTGATTATGCTGCATTCACAAGCAGTTGACAATTGAGAATGCATAAATTGAGTGAAAAATTATGATAATACATTTTTAAACCAATCAATCAACAAAGAGCAGTTCTTAACCCAGAATTTATGGACAATACAATCCTTTCATTCACTCTATAGTATGAAACCATCATTCTTTGAGTTGGAATATTTTATTTCCGAGGGGTTTCGAATGCAGCATTGTCCATTGGTGCGAAGTCATGAAAGTGTTTGTAAACAACTCAATCAGGTAACTTACGTGCTGCTTTAATGTAATTATTATTAGCTTATTAAATGCTTAACTTTTAGCATGTGTAATTGAAATGCTTGTATTGTGTATATATGTAATTATGAATGTAACGTTAAAGTCTTGATAAAAGAAGAAATGTTTGGTTTTATTTTAGCTAGCTTGCTAACTAGCTCAATGCTACAATCTTAGCTTGACGTTAGCAACCGGCCGGCTATGAAGGCTGTGAATGCTTCAGTTTCAGTATATCCACTATGCTAATAGGCTGCTAAACATCAGCTAGCTTAATGACTTGCCTTTGTCTAACCGGTTGTCAAAGCACATGTCCGGTCGGTCAATGACAGCTGTGTTTTTGTGTACAGAGCTAAGGCCCGACAGAGATTTTTATTTTTATTTCTGTGACGCTCACGGCTATTTCGTAAGCAGATATGAGTTTGAGAAAGGAGAATACTTATACTCACAACGTTAAAATACTTTACGCTTATTTAGAAATGTCATTTCACTTACGATTGGGAGCAGTTTAATAAATGTACAAAGTATAAACAGCCAAAACTTCTTCTTATTATTATTGTTTTTTTAATTTGTGTCAAGTCACATGTTTTGGTTTCCAATTACAAATGGAAGGGGGGTCTTCTGTGTATCCTTTCTGTAGGTGCAGCAAACTGGAGTCGGATCAATTCCCACATAGATCTCTGAGTGTCAACACATCCTCCGACGTGTCCCAGATCTTGGGATGTGAAGGATGTTGGAGCTCACATTTGTTCAGTACCTTACAGTCAAAAGGATGACACAACTGTAACATAATTGATTCCTACACAGCTGTCTGAATAACCTCAACTTAGCAGCTCCACAGTCTCACAGCCACTTTTGTTACCACCGCACTGTTCAACCAACAAGTTAAGATGCCCTGGCCATTTTCAGAGTCCATCAAAAAGCGGGCCTGCAGGTACCTCCTTCATCGGTACCTGGGGAATTTTCTGCAGGAGAAACTAAGCTTGGATCAGCTCAGCCTTGATCTTTATCAAGGCACTGGGTCCCTTGCACAAGTACCATTGGATAAATGGGTATGTGTTGTGTTACATTTACAATTTTAAGAGCATTTATTTTGTTAAATTGTGGAACCCAAGTGTTACGTTGTGTAGTGAGTTCATACTGACTGTGAGATGCAATGTTCACATACAAAGTAGCTGAGGTAAATCTGTTCAAACGTGCCACGCCACTTTTTCCAAATGACTTAAAAGTAAATCTCAGAACAGTTGTATTATTTTTCACTAATCTACAATAAATATTGCTCATATGAAACATAAGCAGTTTTTATAAATAGGATTAAAAACATATTAAATCTTTTTTTAATCACCAAAATGTTTAGTTTGTTGCTGAATATGAGGGTTTGTGTCCTGAGGGCAAAATAACTGGAATTGCAATCATTTTACAGTAATGCCTTTATTTTATTTCTTCTTTGGTTCTTGGGCTATTTGATAAAAACAAATATTAAATAAGATGCACAAATGAGTCAGGTTGAGATCAAAATCAGATGTCTCTTAAGTGGCTTTGATTGGTTATTGGCAGGGCAGAAAGTGAGATATATATGATTTCTTCTATACCAAAATGAGTCAAAACTATAAACAGATACTTTTTTGATCTATAAATGCATCAGTCAAAAGAATGGTCCCTGATACAGCTTTCTATGGTTAATAAAACTGTGGTAAAAATGGGAATAATCATAATTTCTCCATTTTTATTTGGAATTAATATTGATATCTATATTATGTGCAGCAAATCGTCTCTTTAATGTGTTATAGTAATTAGAAAAAAAAGTGGAATTAGCAAAGAAAACTGGAAATTGATTTCTGCCAGCATGTCTTCTATTGGAATTAAAAATGCTTGCCGTCTTGTCCTGTAGTCCCTCAATGAGCTCCTGGAGACGGCAGATGCTCCCTTTGAGGTAATTGCAGGGTTCATCCAGACGATATCTCTGACCGTTCCATGGGCAGCGCTGCTACAGGAAAACTGTGCCCTGGAGGTCAAGGGTTTGGAGATGGTGCTAAGACCAAGACCGAGAGCGGGTGAAGAGATGCTAATTTTTGTCTATCTTTACCATATGCCTGAAATAGGAAGAGGCTTATGTTAAGCAAACATATTTAAACGTGAAAATATTGTTGTTCCTCCAGCTTCTGGCACTGAGCCCATGTACTGGTCCAGTTTCATGACAAGCAGCATGCAGCTCGCCAAGGAATGCCTGAGCCAAAAACTCACCGACGATATGGGAGAAAGCTTTCAGCCTTTTGAAGGATTGGAGAAGTTTGCAGAGACAATAGAAACAGGTATGTTATATCTCCACTCTTTATCAACAAGTTTAGTGAAAAATACAAAAACGGCCACATAATTTTTGTTTTCTATTGTGATGCAGTTTTGAGACGAGTCAAAGTGACATTTTTGGATACCGTTCTCCGAGTCGAACACATTCCAGAAAATTCTAAAACTGGAATTGCACTTGAACTTCGAATCAGGAAGTAAGTAAGAAAAATCATACATGGTCTACAAAAGTTTGTATGAAGAAAAGTGCAAAAATGCAGTTGTATTCACCACCAAACGTCATTCTTTGTAAAAAGTATTTTGCATGTAACTTTTTTGCCTATTCTTTGCCACAAAGTCTTGCAATGATCATCAAGTCACTGGTTCTGGATTGGATTTCTGTTTGGAGTTTGAGTCATTTTTACTCGTGAATATTTTTAAAATCTTATTCCACCATTTTTCTGTACTTATCTGGGTTCAAAAATCTATCATGTAAAATTCAGAATAACCCAGCTTGGGGATTGTTCAAGGAAAATGAATATAGTCGTGTAACTTCATTTTGTACATTTGTGCAGGATTGTGTACTGCGATGAAACCGGGGAAGAGAGTCCAAGTGTAAATGTGCATCAGCCAACCACATTCGCCCATAAAAACATGCAGATGGAAGGAATCACTGTATTCTGGGACGAGTTCTCAGTCGTGTCTCGCGATTGCAGATCCTCACCCACCCCTCCGGTTGGTGCCTCCAGTATTTCAGCTCCCAGAACGTTATGGCTCAGCACCACTTTTTCTTTTTGTTTTTAACACAGAATTTTCTTATTTTACAGGAAACCGAGCCAAAGCTCTCCCCCAGCTGGAATCCCAAAATTATATGTGAGCCCCATCCACAGTTTACAGAGCCGCTGTCCTCCATGACCCCCTTTGAGACTGTGCAGGTCGGAAGCCTCAGTGGTAAAATTGAGCTGTCCCTCACTCTGAAAAACAACCTAGCTCTGCCTGGTGCAAAGGTAAATTAGCAAAAATCTTTACTATAAATAAATTATTGATATTTATTCTGTTTTTTTTTTTTTTTTTAAATTGGAGTAGTACTCATACCTTTGTTATTCTGGTGGTATTTCTTCTCAGTTGGATGTTGTTGGACACATTGATAAACTGCTTATCCTGCTCTCCCCACGCCAAGTTCATCTACTCTTGGATTTATTTGGAGCCTTTTCTGGAGGAGGTGAGAACGTAGATGATAAATGGCCGAAACAATCTTCACCAAAATGAGCTGTTTAAAAACATTTCCTGATCTTAATATTAAGGTGCACAAGAATGGAATAAGGACAGAAAAAATCGTCCCATGCAACAAGAGGATGAGTATCGTCTCCATTTGGAGCTGAACCGATGTCTGAAGAAAGACACCGCTGTTCCAGGAACGGACCCAGACCTTTTCGACAGCCAGACCACCAGAACTGTATCGAGTCGAGGTTGGAACAAAATGCTATCTCATCGATTTTCTATAATTGCTCTACACGTGACAATACCATACAGCTCAAACTGTATAATCCTCCTCATTTTGCATTTGATTTATTTCAAATGTCATATTTTGTTCAGAAATGGAAACGCCAGTGTTTATTTTGGATCCTAGAAGTGTGGTTCTAGGCTTTGGTCACGAAAAGCTCACACTAAGAATCGAAAAGTTTTCATTAACTTAAGTTGGACTTTTGAATATAAATGAGTCTGAAACAGATTGAAACAACACTGTGTTTAATAAAACCTGTTTTGTTTCTTGCTGTAGATGATGTGTTCTTCTCCATGGCTGACATGGACATGTCTCACAGCTTATCGTCCCTCCCTCCTCTCGGAGAACCGCCCACTGTTGACTTGGACTTGTCTCTCAACAGCAACTACTCTGCCTCGCCTGGAGAGTCTCCATCTGGAAATGCAGCAGTGAGTCCCACACGCTAATCAAACTTTGATCTTCTTGTTTAGTGTTCTTGAACACATTGAAACTTGGTGTAATTTGAGGTTTATTTAATGGTCAGGATGATCCTCAGGGTTCCTGTGCAGTCTATTTGTCTGGAATTTGACTGAAATATGTCACAACTTTGGATATAGATGGAAAAGCAGTAGTGTGTGGGGGTTAAAAAAAGAGTATTTCCGGTCATTATTTCTATTCTTTTTGTCTAAACGCATCCATCCATCCAGCTGTCTGTCCATCCACTGAAATTATCCTTTTTTCCTGTATGGAATAGTTTTGCTAATTACCAGGTTTCTCTTTCCATGCAAACTTAAGGAAAACATTAAAATAAGTAATAAATCCCTACTTATAACTTGTTATATTTATTTTCAAAAATTGTCACAAACCGAACACTGAATTCCTTTCAGGATTGCAGGACTTCATGGACTAAAAATGTTCCTTTCTCAATTAGCAATACAATAATCTGCAAATCAGTTTTCAGTCAAATATAATTGAGTACAATAAAAAATAATGAAAATCAAGTTAACGCTTCTGTTTGCATTACAACCTCTTCTGTAGCTAGTGAAGTGTCTGTTATGCCATGTTTTTTGGTTGAATTTCAAAGCCTGCTTTTCTTTTTCTGATTCTCGATAAATTACTGAAATATTTTTAATTCTCTAAACCTACCTGGATTCTGAAATGAATCACTGAAATCCACTTTAAGATTATTGCATTAGGATGTTATTCTCAGCATGGATATCTGCCTGTGCTTTCAGGCGCTGTGGGATGACTACATGGATGTACCGCGACAACGAGAGAAACAGACGAGTGAATCCTCTGCCCAGTCGCGGGATTCACAGCTCCCTCAGAAACTACTGAGACAAACCTGTAAGCATGTTTAAATAATTAGACACAGCTTTTTTTTTTTTTTTTTTTACTTTGCTTTATCTGGAAAAGCAAGATAAAGATTAAACAATATTTTTTTTTCCATTTTCAGCCCATTCGTCTAAAACACACGGGGATGAATCAAGACCAGAGCTGGTGCTAAAGCTGTCGCTGAGTGGCTTTGCAGTCTCTGTCCTCCACATTGACCCGCTGCCACCTCCACATGCCGCCCCCAGCCCGGTTGGACCCCTGGCAGGACATTTTTTCAGCGCACAAGGCCCGGACCAGCTTTCTCCAGACGCTTTCCTTCGGTCTCGATCAATGTTTGATCAGGCTTGTACCCATGATCATTTAAGGTAAACGCTGTTTACAGTTAATTATAACATTCTAGAGTGCCTTTTTTTAACTAGCTCAGGGGTGTCCAAACTGTTTGTCATGTGGGATAAAATATTATAATAGTATAATATTACCATCATGACTATAGGAAACCAAAAAAACTTGGAAAATTTATAATTTTGTGTTGCATCTGAGATCTTTGTAAGTAGATTTTAATTTAAAAGTTGTGGGTTTTTTTTCTTTATTTAATTAATTCTTGAATTGTGGTCGAGGTGGCTGGCCGCACAAAATCAGTCCAGGAGCCACAAATGGTTCCAGGGCCTCACTTTGAACATCCTTGTACTATATTAGTGGCTGTGTTCATAACATGGGCCCATGTTTGCAGGTTTGTTGGCCAGGGTTTGAAGATAAACTACGAGCACTGTCAGGGATCAAACCTGCGGACTTTCAGGACTGACATCTCCCTGAGGCAGATGGAGTTTGTTGAATGCCTGTTTCCCTCAGAGCCTCCAGTTGGTGGAAACCACAGAGGAATCCAGTACACTGAGGTCAGTATTAAGCTTTTCTTTCATTCTTGTTGAACACTGTCTATCCAGGACAGTCAAAGCTTCAGTTTGGAAGAGATTTAAAAAAAAACAAAAAAACAATTTTTTTTTCTGTCACACCTCAGCTCTTAACATTTGAGACCCCAGTCAGTGATGAAGCACCTCTTTCCACCTGCCTTCACCTGCTGTACAAACTGGCTGAACGCAGAGGCCCTCAGGTGTTCACCTTTAATCATTAACAAATTAATAAATTAAATCCCAACTTTATCATGGAATACCTTTTCTGCATGGCCCACTAGCTCGCTGTTTGCTATTCTGTTCAGGCAGGCCAGGTGCGTCTCAGCACAGTACCCAGGAAAGCCGAGATCCGGGTGGAGCTGGGTCCTGTGCGCTCCGAGCTGGACATCAGCATCGTCGACCGTCTCAACTCTCTGCTGCAGCCTCAGAAATTAGCAACCACAGAGATGATGGCCTCCCACTTGTACACATCTTACAACAAACACATCAGTTTGGTAAGTTGCAGATGTTTATTGAGTTAACCGGTTTCCTAAAAATGTAACTATGAAATTGCTTTTTATTCAAATTAAAGGCTCATACCATTATATCAGCCTTCTTACATATTTTCAGTACAGACCTTCCCAGATTTTCAGTGATGGAATTCCCTTTTTTAGTTTGATATTTGTATTGCAATCAGGTTTGATACATAAAACTTTCAAAAACAGGAAGGAAGAGATGGAAGGAGGACGTGGGAAGTGAATTAAAAAAGGAAAAGTAGAGAAAGAATTGTATGAATGATGGACTAAAAGGATGATGGAGTAACAGAGGAAAGTAAAGGGAGAAGGAAAGCAGGACACACAGATGGAAGGAAGTATGTGAAACTTTTAGAAACATGCATGGATTGAGGGGAGAAATGCAGTTTTAAAGAAAGAAGAATAGGATTAAAGAAAGGGGTGCGGTTATTGTAAACATTTGTTGCATTATTATTATGTTTTTTTTCTGACGCACGGATTTCTTGGATCGTTTTCAGCACAAAGCCTTTGCAGAGGTTTTCCTGGACGACACCCACACTCCCTCCAACTGTCACATATCACTGACAGTGAATGCTCCGGTTCTCGGCCTCTCTGTGCGCTTCCCTATTCCCGACCTGCGTTCAGATCAGGAGAGAGGCCCCTGGTTCAAGAAGTCCCTGCAGAAAGAAGTTCTGCTTATGGAGCTGGAAGACCTGGAGATGAAAACAGAGTTCATGGGCGGAAGCTCACCCAACCAAACCAAAATGGAGCTCACCTTCAAGGAACTTACTGGTTCGTCTTTTGTCAGAAAGAAAGAAAATGTGATTATGAAACTGCCATTGACTTGGTGGTGTTGTCATGGTGCAGGAAAGTTCCAGGAGGAGCCAGATCAACCGGCTGCCCGTTTCCTCAGGGTTTCCCACAACATGGAAGGAGACATGATGACGTCTGAGAGTGTTAAGTTTGACTGGCCGAGGTACGTTCACCTGAACCGGCGAGTCCATTGAGCCCCGATTTGTAGTGACAGATAATTCTTCTGAGCAGGGTCGTCCTGAAGATGAATCCCACCACGGTCCATTCAATACTGGAGCGTGTGACAGCTGAAGATGATGAAGGGGCTGAGGATCATTCACTTGAGGAAGAGGAGGAGGAAGGGGGTGCTCATTCGTTGAAGGACGTGTGTGACTTTGGGAAACCAGAGCCGTCGCCCTTTTCTTCGCGCAAGGTTATGTATGAGACTGAGGAGGTGAGTCATAATTCTTACATCATGTCTAAACTCATGTTCCTTGAATTTTTCCCCATTTTGGTTTCTTTAGCAACACAATATACAAAAATGTGTATTAAGATGCTCTAGTCCAGGGGTCACCAACTCCAGTCCTCGAGGGCCACCATCCTGTAACTTTTAGATGTGTCTCTGCTCAAACACACCCGGATCAAATAAGCTGCTCGTTTCCAGCCTATTGCAGAGAGGAATGAATGCTGGTGAGGGAATTCAGACATTTTGGAGCAGAGGTGAATCTAAAAGTTGCAGGATGGTAGCCCTTGCGGACTGGAGTTGGTGACCCCTGCTCTACTCAATAAAAAACAACCACAGTCATAATGACTTTGAACACAGGGCAGTCTTGGAATGTTAGAATGGCCTAGTCAAAGTCCAAACCAAATTTATCCATTGGCCTCCTATGAATAATAATTACCATTCAGCATGTAGGGTGGCCATGTTTCTAAAGTTTATATTTTTTACTATGACTTTTGCCTGTCAAGTGTAATGTTTGCACTGACTTTAGAATATGGCACACTTTTAAAATTTTAATAGTTTTTTTTTTCCCATACCATAGCAGGAAATCAGAACAGTCCGCTGAGTGCTAGATTCTATTGGCCATGAAATATTTTGTAATAATTGGTGAGGGGGAAGATGGCGAAGTTATAGGATTTAATTTTTCTCACAGTCTTCCCCATCACCACTAGAGGTCATGTCAATCTCAAACAAGAATCATGCAAAAAATGTTCTTTTCTTGAGGGAAAACATTAAATGTACTAAAGATTTTAAGAAAAACAAGCTGAGTTAAATGTAAAACATACTGTAGTTATTTTTAGAACATCTGTAACCGTCTTCCTGTCTGTCTCTCCAACAGGAATAGGAAGGCTTCTGTTTTTTCTGCTTGTAATCTGAGTGTTTTGTTGTAACTAAAGGCCAAATCTGGATTTAGCTTTATAATATATGTGAACATGGTAAAGCTATATTTAAGGTATCTCTCTTTAGAAGCTGCATGTATGTTTTAAAGTGCAAATATTATGCCTGAACAGAGTAACAAACAGAAAACAGATATCACAACTTGATACATACTAAATGTCCATCCATTGCACATCACTTTTCTCCTTTAAAGAGTAAAATGTCAAATCTGCAAAAATCTACTTTTTTCACTCTGTTTCATGTTCCAAAGATTTAATACTAACATTTGAGAGACAGGTGTGGTTTATCCAGGTGCAGAAATTTGCATCCTGGAGGGAGGATATTCTCTGGTCAGCATATTAACATGTTTGACTGATGAATTCTTACGCAAATGAGGAACATGTTTTACAAATCTGATCTGTGGGCAAAACAGGTGGTGACGAGATGAATGCGTTTCCCTGTTTGCAGATGATCATTCCTGGTGATGTTGGTGAAATGACAGAGTTCCAGGAAAAAACCATGAACAACTCTCGCTTCATCCTGGAGCTGTGTTTCCCTAATGTGCAGCTGGCGCTGCCCGGCAAGACTTTCTATGAGAAGCTGCACAACAGGTTCATCATCTATTAAAAATAAACACAACAGCTTGACAGATGTTGTTATTAACTGGTAGTTAAAACATGTTAACCATCCTCTTATCTGCATGATTTCTTCAACAGAGAACAAAATCTTAGTCTCAACTGATCAAAGCAGTTAAAAACCCCACGTCTTTACATGTTATTGTAGAACAGACAAGGCTTTTGTTCTGTATCTTTCACAAACAACTGGTTGGCATGTGTCTACTTGTTGCTGCACTGAAGATAAAAATAACTTCTGGAGATCTTTTAATTCCCTTAACATCCTCCACACTGTGTATTATTTCAGTCCTCATCCACCCCAGTGGTTAAAATTAATGGGCCTTTGAGTTGCATCATATTTAAACCCCTGAGGAACAGAAAGTCATAAACTACTAATTAGAAGTTCCTAGAAACTGATCAACTTGAAACAATAATTAAAGAAAGCCGTCAATATTTATTTAACAATTGATTATTAGATGCAATGATTTTTGTTTTTGCCTCTGAATTCATGCTCTCAGATTAAGACCACTGCAATGAAAAATCAGGCTTTTGCACATCTTCATCGTGCGTACCAATAACTGTGGCCTGCACTGTCCTGTGCACAGTTTCATGAAATAAAACATGCATTCTCCATGTTCTAGGATAAGCAATGACCTTCTGCTGTGGGAGCCCACTGCCCCGTCCCCAGTGGAAACCATAGAAAGCATGCCGTATGGAATTGGACTGTCTGTTGCCAGCCAGTTGATTAACACTTACTCCAAAGACAGTTTCAGCCAGTTTCGCTCTACTGGCCCTGAGGGTAAGATTAAATTACCCGTCTCATATTCAGAGTTCTTACATGTACTTGACATCCTTCGAAATGCTTGAATTTCATTTAGGTGTTTTCAAGGTTTGGACATTTTTTTTGGTTTCTGTACAAAGTCCTTTAAAGTTATTGATATTCAAGCTGCAGTTTTGTAATAAAGTGTAATGTAAAGTCTGATTAAAAGCCTACATTTGGGAAATGTTGCATTTGAAACCAGATATTTTCATGCACCTTGTAAAAAGACAAACACATTTTTTTCTCACTGTGTGAAGTTCAATCATACTGCAGTTTTCTTGTTTCAGGTTAGTTAGAATTACCAAAATTATTTCTAATTACTAAATTTCTGAAAACTTGGCGAGAACATAAGTTAGGAATTATTTTTGTAACTTTCTTTGTCTCTTGTATTTTGTATTTAATCATTTAACCTGACCAGGAAAGTCATTAACCTTAACACGATTTGTTTGGATTGTTTCAGTGTAATAAATATTATTCCTAATGGCTCAATGAGTTATTGATCTATTTAATTTAAATAAAGGTTGCATTGTATTTTTTTTATGTTAAATAATATTATTAAAATTGTGGATTTTCTTTTCTTAATTAGTGTTTTATTATTGGACCAGTCAGGTTTATGGAATATGTGTCAGAGACTTTGCAAAACATCAAATTTTGCTATACTTTACTTTGCCATGCCCCTTCTGTAGAAAACCATCACAAAACATCATTAATAACAGTAATAATTGATACCATGTAATATTGATTTCAAACGGTCTTTTTCAGTTGATTTCTATTGTTTTGTATATGATATTTCAGGATCTCAGATGTTTTTATGAGATCTTGTTCAAACCATCTCTCCTTGTTTTCAGAGGAGACCAGTGGCTCAGAGGAGGAGACTATGCATTACTATTCTCCTGCCTCGGATCTGGGCTTCAGATCTCGAAAGAAGAAAAAGCCCAAAGCGCACAGCAAAACCTCCCAGAGCCTCTTCTCTGTCATCCTCTCTGTTAATCATGGGTTAGTGGCGCTTCAGACAAACTCTAAGGTAAAATCTGATAGATATTGTCTTAAAATCAATCAGCTCTAAAAACCTTTCATATGTGCTTCATTAGTTGTTGTTTTTTTTTTGTTGTTGTTGTTTTTTTAGGAAGAAGATAAATCTTTACTTAGAAACAAACATGGGGAGTTCTGGATTGAGGTGAAAAATGCCGTTTTGTTCAGCGTCACTCAGTATGAAGGCTTCAAGGACCAACACTACATTTGCTTTCACACCAGCAGCGTTTGCATGTACCAGCAAGGTACCACTTTATATAATTCCTCCTTATTACTCAGTTTATTGAACATCACTGTAAATATGTCATATTTATTAATCCACCCAGGACTCCTAGATGGAGGGATCAATGTCTTAGACATCAAGTTGCCGTGCAGGACACATCCCCACTGGCTGGAGCCGACCATCTACCAATCAGAGACTTCTTCAGAAAGGGCCTCGACCCCCTCGGAGGGTATCGGTCTGGAGGCCCGGAGCATGGTGTCAGTCGCAGTCAAAATCTCATCACAGAGCGCAGAATGCAACCTCAAGGTCAGACATTCAGATTGACCCTTTGGAAATTTTTGCCACTTATTGAACAAACAACCAAAGAGTTTTATGTTCAGTCTAGTTAAACAGAATTGGATGGTCAAAGGGTTTTCTTATTCAAGCTTTTTAAGATATTAATAAGGTAAAGAAAATGTTTTTTTTTTTTTTATCTTGGTGTTAATCTGCACTCTCCCACTTACCTTAACTTGCTGCTGTGACACCAGAAATTTCCCTCTGTAGGATAGTAAAGAATATTTCTGCTCTTTTCTAAAAGCACTTGAACCATAAACCTGAGCTGAAAACATGCTTGTGCTGTGATGTAATTTAAATCAAAAATAGTCTTTTAAAAAGTCTGAAATTTAACTTGGTGAAACTATATGGAATCTGATATAAAAGATAAGTAAAGCTTATTAAGTTTTTCTTAACTTGTGGAATATTTAAGTGAAATATTCTCACTTCAGTGGCATCGTTTTTTGCCCATGCAGGAGTTTCTGGTTGCTGTTGGAGTGAGAGGAGCCACACTGCAGCACAGAGTGGTGCCACCTAATCTGGGCTGGTACGATCAGGTAAAACAAAACAAAACAAAAAGTCACACGCCATGTTTACAAATCTCTTAAGACAGGCAGACATTAAATGAAATAACTTGTGTTTTTCTGACACAGATTGTTGACTTTCTGAATGTTTCGGCTGAGCCTGTGTTGGGTTACGCCCCTCCCATGTCTGTCACCACTCTACATTTACACCTTTGGAGTTGCTCATTAGACTACAGGTAAGGCAGATTTTACACTGACTGCTAATAAACATCTCTTTATTAGTAAAGAATATTAACAGAACAATCTTTATCTTGTCAGACCTCTCTACCTGCCACTCAGGTCTTTGGTGTTTGTAGAAACATTTAGCATCTCCAGCAGCGTCTCCTTAGACAATTCATCTTCAACCTTAAGGTTTGGCTGCTTTCTTAGTTATTTGAGAAATATTTATTTAAATCCATTTGAAAAAACAATGTTTTAAAACATTTTCCTTGCAGGATAATTTTGGATGAAGCTGCTCTGTTCCTCTCGGACAAGAACAATATGGTTTCTGTTAATCTTGCGCGGGGTAAGTTGACTTGTTTTAGTCAACATTTAGGACTCCGTCTTGAAATGTATGGAGTTGGATTTAGTTTGGCCTGGCTAGATTTGGAAAAAGAAAATTAGAGTGCAAGATATCATTCCCACTGTCTACACGTTCTATCCATAAGCTTGTCCTTTCTCTGCCCGGACATCCAGCAATCTCCTTGAATATTATTTGTCTGTCATGTATTCCTTTGTCCATCATTAATTGCTGTTTTCATCCATCACTGGTTTTGCAGTTAAAGTCTGACCTCAGCAGAGATATTTGCAGTAATGTCTTAGTAAAGAAAACATTCTTGTGTAAAAGTATTGTGTTTAAATGTTTCTTGCTTACTGTTCTGATCATTGTTTCATTCATATTACAGACTATGTTCAGGTTGTAGACATGGGGACACTAGAGCTGAGGATTACAGCTGTCAAACCTGGAGCAGATGGAAAATTGGTAAGTTTATCAACTCTACATAGGATTTTTCACTGAAAGGAGAAAGTCTGATCTTTGTTTTGTTTTGGTTTGTGGGGTGATAGTCAGAGCCCAGATTTGAGCTGCGCTGCTCCAGTGATGTGATCCACATCAGAACGTGTTCGGACTCCTGCGCTGCCCTGATGAACCTCATCCAGTACGTGGCCAGCTATGGAGACCTGATGCCCCCGGAGGAACTGGAGACCAAGCGCAGCAGCACCACACAAAAAAACAAGGTGACATTCAACTCCTGAGCTGCTGCTACACAAAATGTTTAAAACAAATATCAGTCTTAAATTAATGATTTTTTTTTTTTTTTTTGACAGGCGGAGGTTCCCAGCAGACCAACATCTCAGATCCCGCTGCTTGCTGAGAATGAGCTGCAGATGCTGCAGGACCTGATGAGTGAAGCTATGGAGGAGATGGACGGGCAGCAAGCGCCGTGCCCGCAACAAAATGGTTCAGACTTTCCTCAGTTAAAGAAAATTCATTAAGAATGTAGTAGTTTACTGTTAAAATATCACTGTGTGGAAATACGTGATTAATTCGCAGTTTAGCTAATAAGTATGTGGTTTGATTTAAACTGGAATGCTAGTTAAGGCTTTAAATTGTAAGAAAATGGTGATAATGTTCTTGTTCTTAGATTTTATGTGGTAAACCAAGAGAAAATGGCACGTATTTCTGCAGTGGGAGCAGAATGACACAATTATGTTGTCTATATTTACAGATAAAGTAAGAAGTTCAGGATATCATTGGATTTTGTTGTTTTAATGTTACAAAATGTAGAAAAGTTTATAAATACTTTAACATTATTTCTCTCCAAAAATAGGTCAAGACACCTATTTTGATAGATTTTCTGCATAAAAATGTGCAGAAACGAAAACCTAAGGACCTTTTATTCCAGTTTGATTAGCATGATGGATCCACTGTTTGCTTACATTTTTAATTATGTATAGGTTCCCATGAGGAAGAGACTCATGACCACGATGCACCCCGCTCAGACCTCTTCCTGTTCCCTGATGAGAGTGGGAATTTAAGCCAAGATACAAGTCCCACGTACCCCATTCTTGCCTCTCCGCTCATCACACCTGCGCCCAACCTGGCCCAAGAGACGGATGACTTTTGCATTTTGGAAACTCCTGATTCCAGAGGAGAGGTGAAGAATTACTGACTCAAATGTTTACTTTTTTTGTATGCAAAACGTGTGTTGCTTCACTTTTAGGGTGTTTGTGTTACAGGATCAAGACCAGGAGCCTGTGGTAAAGCAGCTCACCTCGGATCCAGTGGAAATCAAAGACGATCACTTCAGTCAGCCTTTGGAAGGGAACGATTCCAGTCGTGGAGCCGTGAACTTTCCCATCCCAGAGGTCCGCTACCTCATTAGGGAGATTTCTGTCATCTGGCATCTTTACGGAGGAAAAGACTTTGGGAGTTTGGCGTGCATTGCTTCACCTGCCCGAAGCCGGGGGTGAGCCATTCTTGTTGGTTTCTCTCAAAACTTGCACAAAGGGTAGGAAGCATGCTCTCTAAGGTTTTTGTCCCTCCCTGTGTGTTGTAGATCTACTCCTCATAGCTCCCCATCTCAAACTCCAGTTAGACAAGTGAAGAGTTTGGGCCGTATCGGAGGAGGAAGAGGAAGAAACCCTGATGTCCTGATGGAGATACAACTCAGCAAGGTTGTTTATCATTATTATCATTATTTTTATTATTGAACAAGTGTTTATTATAGCATATTTATGGTTGATTTTCAACCTGTGAATACAGAAGTTGGATGCTTTTGATCTACTAAAAACAGCTTTTTTTTTCTATTTTCTGGATAAATTAATTATATTACACAGCTCTGCAGTTAAAACATTTCAAACCAAAGACAAAATAATCAGAGTTGACATTTTTAACTTTCCGATGTTGATCACTCGCCAATCTTTCTGTGCATCCCACATTCATTAGAATCGCGTTGTTCTTTCTAAATGTTATGGTAATTCCTTCGGTATTTAACTTTTATCTTCTCCATGCTTGAAATCAGGTGAGATTTCAGCATGAGGTGTACCCACAGACCCCTGTAGCATCTCGTCCAGCGATGGACCAGCCAGTGTCCCGCCAGGTGTTTGCTGTGCAGGACTTGGAGATTCGGGACAGACTTGCTACCTCACAGATGAACAAGTTCCTGTACTTGTACTCCAGCAAGGAAATGCCTCGAAAAGCCCATTCAAACATGGTGAGACTGGCAACGTACTACGACCTTTGTTAGGTTTGTGAATTTCTGGATCTTCATGAGTACTTTTTGTTTTTAGTTGACAGTTAAGGCTTTGCATACGTGTCCCGAGTCAGGCCAGGCGCCTCCTGAGTGCTCCTTGCGTGTTTCTCTAATGCCTCTTCGCCTCAATATTGATCAGGTATGACAATCAGATGTAGATGTTTGCAATGTTAAAAATGTTGAGCGTACGCGATAACATATTATTTTTGGTTTTCTTAAAGGATGCGCTGTTCTTCTTGAAGGATTTCTTTAGTAGTCTTGCAAATGAAGTGGAGTTTTTCTCCCCTCCTGCTCAAGAAAGTAAGCCCGATAATCAACTGGCACTTTTACAGTTGTGCATTTTAACACAGTTTCACAGCTCATGAGGGTTTTCGACTTTTTTTTTTCCACAGCTGTTTGTGTTACAACAAAGAAAGTCGCTGCCCCAGAGATCTCCTGCAGCTTCTCCAAACAGACCTTTAGCAGCCAGGATCCAGCCCCGATTATTTCAGTTCCTGCTCAGAGGCAGATCAGCATCAATAGTTTCTCAACGTCGGGCAGGGAGGAAGCAAATGATGGCGAAGCTTCTTCCTCTCCGTTTTCAGACCAACCGATCTTCTTCAGGTCAGTGGAAACTAAAAACAGTTTAAGGCAGAAATAATTGCAATGCAGTATGTTCATGTTTAATCCTGCGTTCTCCTTTCAGAGAATTTCGGTTCACTTGTGAGGTTCCAATTCGACTGGATTACCATGGGAAACATGTATCGATGGATCAGGTATGTGATCTGACACAAAAGTGCATAAATGATTTCTTAAAATGAGTTTTATTAATTATTGGGGTAATATCTTGTTTCAGGGAACATTTGCAGGAATCATCTTTGGGCTGACACAGCTAAATTGTTCAGAACTGAAACTGCAGCAGCTCTGCTATAGACAAGGGTGTGTTACCTGAATAACTTATGAGACAGTGATCCATTGCTCCATCTGTTGTCTTTGTGACAATGACCTATTTTTCAGACTAAACTTGCACTTCTTTGTGTTTCAGATTACTTGGTGTGGACAAGCTGTTTTCCTATGCAATAAATGAGTGGCTAAATGACATAAAGACCAATCAGCTTCAAGGAATACTAAGTGGTGTGGCGCCTATTCACACTCTGGTGAAACTGGGTGAGCAATAACTTTTGGATGTAGCTCATTTCCATGTGTTCCTCATATAACTACCCCCACTGTCACCCTGGCATCTAATGCTTTTTTTGTTTTTTTGCATGTTGCCTTTGAGGCTGGGATAACTTGGGGATTTCTGTTCACGTGACGTCTAAGTGAACTTCTTGTTCTGTTCAGTTCACGGCCTGAGGGACCTGGTGTGGCTCCCTATTGAGCAGTACAGAAAGGACGGCCGGATAGTCCGGGGATTTCAGCGTGGCACGGCCTCCTTCGGGACCTCCACAGCCATGGCTGCTTTGGAGCTCACAAACAGGATGGTGCGGACCATCCAGGTAAACTGGTTCTGAATACTTTCATTCTCGTAGGACATTTATTATAATGTGAAAATTATAAAGCATTTACGGCCTGAAGAGGGACATTGTGAATTAATAAGAATTAATTTACAATGCAGTTACAGCTGATGATGATTTCCATTGTTTGACCCCTAACTTATGGATAGTACACAAAGAAACAGGAAGACAGACAAAGAGAAACACTTAAAATACATCTTCTGCAGTTTTCTGTTTCAGCTTCTGCTGTATTAGTCCTCAGTGCTAATACAGTGCTATTCTTTCCAACGTTTCTGCTCTTCTGATATTTGCAATATGATCTAGTCTTCAACAAATGTTTCTGCTTCAGTTCAACTTCAAACACAGACCACTTACCAGTAAACTTCACAGCATTTCCATCTCGTTGTTTGGAAGGAAAAGCAAATTTGTTTTATTTTAATTTGTTCAAATTCTGTTTCTTTAGGCAGCAGCTGAGACAGCTTATGACATGGTTTCTCCAGTACCTGACGAAAGAGACACAAAGAGGGTAAAACGGTACTCCCATTATGGCCTTGCTCATCAGCCTGTGGACCTGAGAGAAGGTGTAGCCAAAGCTTACACTGTGGTGAAAGAGGTAAGCAAATGGCTCATCTTACCATTCCTCTTGAATATATACAGTTAAAATTAAAGAAGTTTACACACACTTAAAAGAAGCCCAAGTTTCAATTTGTTGTGAACTTTTTCTAGTTCACACAGGATCAAAAAAAGAACATTCAAGCAATTTTTTGTGGGATGTATGTATATTTTTGAGCCTGTATGTATGATTCCTTTTTAAACAGATATCTAGCGGTACGCTAACTATTTTCCTGATTATGCGTGTACATGCTTTCTCTTGTTCTTGTCTCTTATTCTTTTGTTTTTAAAAATCAGTTTGAAATAAATGAATAAATAAAAACAAAGAAAATTCACTGAAAAATTACATCTTTCCATTCCACCCTGAAAGAACAGCATCAATACGGTGATATTCATGCTGGGTAATGACCGCATGTGAACTTCTGACCAGAACTGTACACTGTCTCCTCCCACAGGGCATCACAGACACCGCTCTTACCCTTTATGACACGGCGACACGGGAGCACGAGCAGCGTGGGATGACGGGAGCGGTCGGCGGAGTCCTCCGCCAGCTGCCACCAGCTGTAGTCAAGCCACTCATCATGGCCACTGAAGCCACGTCTAACGTCTTGGGTGGGATGAGGAACCAGATTCACCCCGATGCGCGTCAGGAGGAGTCACAGAAATGGAGGCACGAGGAGGAGTGATTCTTACTGCTATGAAACCATGACTGTAAAGCAGATGCAGGCAGGAATGGGGGTTTTTTTGTGCTTGAGGAAAGGCTGGCAGTGACTTCTGGTGTAAATAAAAACAGTCTCATCCTGTGGCAGTGTGACCTGATGCCATCCAGCTAACGGTTCCCTCACAGTGCCTTCATGGTCATCAGCAGTGTACACCGTTTTGCTCAATAAATGGATTATATAAATTATAAATGTGCAAGCCACATATCATTCTGATCGGACATAAATTGTGTCAGATTAGAAAACAGAATTGTGACAGGTCATCTCATTAGCTTCCTTTTCAAGCAGCTCTGTTTACAGATAGTGTTGTTATCCTACCACTACTACTTAGTGTCAGCAAAAACTAGAGTACGAGGTTTAATTTATTACATGTTCTATGCTATTTACTGTAAATATTCCAACTTTGTAATCCATGCAAATTTAAAACAAGAACTGAAACCAAATGTGTCAAAGGTGTGTAAAGTTATTTAATAAGCACTTTTAAGTGACTTGAAGGGTTACATGTCCAAATAAATGAACAGGAAGGTAATCCAAACACATTGTACAGCTGCACAGGTTTATTTTGAACTGTAAGGTGTGCTATTTTCACAAAAGCTGCTATTCAGAAAGTCACTTTTAAATATTTTGTTTCCTTTAGTTGCAGCTTTTTACAAAAATGATTCATCTGCATCTCTCATGTCTTATCAACTGTTTTTATTTCAGCGAATGAATATGGATGTTGTGATAATTTGCATCACACAATTTAGATTTGCATATTTTATTGTTTATGTGGGAAGAATAATTTTTCCTGGGCATAAGTGTAATGTATTAATTGTATTAAAGAGGTTAGAGGTAAATAAACTGTTCAGATCATGTGCATCATTTTTTATGGCACTATGAGCCATTATTTACAGCGTTAGACTGGATTCTGATTTTTACCCTGCAAACATAAACGTCATATCTTCATCACGCCTTTACGTCACCGCTCATCGTTTTTCACAGACTTACAGTTTATTTTAAAAAGTGTAAGTATGAAAGGTATACTTATCTTCGTCTAAACTCATTAAAACTTACCACGCAAAACTTACCACTTAGTGGTGTAAAAAAATGTGGGAGAACACCTTCAAATCCAAAGTTGGTGTTACTATGACAACACAATGCCGCTTTTTTTGTAGACAAGTCAACCCTGTCAACAGCCTCACATCAAACTTACAGGGTATGTCGGACATTGGTTCTGGTTTGACTATTTTATCGTTTGAGGCAGAACTGACTGTTAATGAAAAGAAGCTACTTTACCTCCGTGCGCGCTACGCTGGACTGACGTTTTGCGGGTGCGCGCACGCAGTTTTTTTATGCAAGTTGGTGCACTCATTAAAGTAAGTTGCCTGCTTAAACCGTGTCTAGTCGTTAGTGTATGAAAATGTTAAATATACAGCTTAAATTTATCACAGCCGGATAATGACGTATGGACTTCAGCTTAGTTTGAAAGTTTTTTTTTTTTTTTAAAGTACCAACATCTGGCAGGTTAGCTAGCATTAATAAACAGTGACCAGCAGTGACAAGAGGAGTAAACACTAGCAGATTTGGACAGAAACTGAAATTGTTAAGTTGAATTGAGGACAGTCTCCTTTCAGAAATCTACCTAACATGAATTATTTATTAATTAATTATTATTTATATTTATACAGCATGGACTAACTAAGTGCATACTGTACTGTGCTTGTATCACCAGGTTTCCTTTTGTATAGTGTCTACATTTTTATGAAGCTTTACTGAATGAGCTCAAAATAAATCTGATCAGTTGTGTTAGGCCTTATGTGATGTTACCAGAAACATTTTTTTTTAAATCCTAAATTAATATCATTTTACCACAAAATACATCTACAAAGAATCCCACGATGTTCTATAGGTGTTTATGTCTAAAGTGAGACTCGCTGATTTTAGCAAAAACTCTGACCAATAGGCTTAAACAGTTTGTGCTTCACATGAACAATAAGGTTGCTGTGATGTTTCCAGATGTATCATAAAAAGGAGGACTGCTGCCAAGGAGTTATATGCATCAAAAGGGCATGGTGAACTCTCTGTGGGGATACTTGGTCTGGGTACCCTGGGGAAACAGCTGTTACTCTGCCTCCTTAAAAAGACCACCATCAGACCCACACAGATTAAGGTCTCCACGAGAAACCCAGCAGGTATGGTGACTTCAAAGTAAATCTGTTGTTCCTCCTGCAAAAATGAATGACGTCACCTTTTATTCTTGACCTGTTTAGCCTGAAAAACAAAGATGGAAGAAAAGATTACCCTTAACTGCATTTAAACCTCTTTTTCTATTTGTGCTTAAACAACATACATTTCTTAACCCAAACGTCTCTCCTTCAACACTACAGTTACCCAGGTGATCACTAAAGTTGATTTAATCTTCCTTAAAATAGCAGCAAGGGTTAGGGTATGTGCTTCAAAATGGTCTCAACTTGATGTCACAATAGCACATAATATTGTTGGATGGTAAGTTGTCTAAATTGTTTATTGCAATTAAACAATTACGTTGTTTTGAGACGATTTTCCAATTATATAATGATAATGGCATAATAATGCAAGTTCACCCTCTCAAAGATAAATAAATTTAATTTCCAAGGAACATTTAACACTGGAACTGGAAGATATTTTAAATATCCATAATAAATAAACAAACAACCCATAAAAAGGACACAAGAGTCTTTATAAACAAAAGGGTCCTTCAAAAAATTGAGGTATTTTACATTAATGACTGAAGCCTTTTCACAACAAAGTCTGTGGTTATATTTGTTTTCATGCGAACATACATTTTTTAATTTGGTTTATTTCATCATGTCATTCATTGCTTAATGGCTTTGGCAGCATAATGTTATGATGTGGCTTTTCTTGTTCACACATGCGCTCCTTCAAATCTGACTGAGCTAAGCCTGTAGGTACACATAATCATATAAAATACAAATTTGTGGTTCTGACGTGGCAAAGGATAAAAAAGTTGTAGTGGTACAAAGTTGTTTGATGGGCAAAATAGTAAGTAATCCAGCAAACCACTTAGATATTTCACTACAGATTTGGCTCACTTCTTTTTCTACCACCAGTATAACGAATGTGTGTGTTTCAGAGGAGTGTGTCCCGCCAGGAGTCGAGTGCTTCTTTGACAATCGTTGTCTGGCAGCGTGGGCGGACATTTTGTTCCTCTGCTGTTTGCCTTCTCACCTTGACAGAATCTGTGCTGATCTCCATTCTCATCTGCAAAAGCACTGCCTTGTCTACAGTTTCATCACAGCTGTGCCCGTCAACCGGTACACCCGCACCTATGCACGCTGGCAACGTGCTGTTTTGATGCAAACGTGATTGATCTCTCACTCTTAATGTTTTTTTTCATCTCAGTTTAGCTCAACGTCTTGGCCACAGTTTTGTTCTGAAACCACAGTATCAGGTGGAAGCGTGCGACACCTCAGACCTGTGGCTGTCCTTCTCCCGTGTGACCGAAGCTTTGTCAGATCTATCACTGATAGAGGCATCATGTCCTCTAGCTATGAAAGGTTGGTGAGAACTCTTTTAAGTTGAATATTCATTTTCATAAAGTTGTTTTTCTACTAAATGATGTTGATTTTAAATTGTAGGTGGCATCACTCTAGGCCTGAAATGGGTTTGTGGAGTGTTGTACAGCCTGCTAAACATCTGCACCAATGTCTGTCTGGGATCCAGTGAGGCTCTTTCTCTAATTAACAGCATATTTGCAGAGAATAGCATGAACAACGAGCCTTTAAAAGTAGAGAGTTTCATCGCTTCCGCATCTTTTCTCCATCCAAATAAGTGAGTTAGTGAAGGATGCGGTATTGCATTTAACCTTCTGCTACATGAACAATTGCAGTACAAAGAAATACAAAAAGAAGAAACTATAACAAAGGGGAATATCTTTTTCTTTACTCAACAAAGGTCTTTTCCCTGGATTTCTCTCGTTGACGCCCAAACCAAGGAGACACCACTGCTGCACTTTGTAATGAACAGCAAACCAGTTCAAGAAAACATCTGGACAACATACAAATCAAACCTGAAAAGCACAATAAAATGACGACAATACATCCCAATATGGAGAACATGTCAATATCTAACACATAGTTTAGAATAACATTTTCTTATTGGATTTTGTAAAACTTGATGTAGCCTTTTCTGGTATTTAATTTGTCACAATTAGTGTTGTTATAAAATTAAATAGCATATAGCAAATTATGTGATGTCTTAAAGATAAAAATAATTATTTTTTTCTTAAACAAAGCATCACTTGATTTAAATTTAAATTTTTAAAATATATGCAACAGTTCTTATTTTAGTTGTAATACTAGTATATGTAAGAATGTAAAATCTATGACTTGTTTTATATGCCATGTTTGTACTTTTATAATGATTTTTACTTGTACTTATTATTTCTTTTTTATTATGTTACACCCAACATTTCCTTTATTTTTAAGCCATTCACTGTCAATAATAGAGCTTGTCTTCTAGTGTCTTGCTGTATTTGTACCCTAATAACTTTGCAGGATGCTTGTATGGATTGAAACATTGAAATTCCAGTAAATTTGTTCTCATTCATTTCCATCTATTTAGAATTAAAGTTGAGGACGAGGTAGTTTCTAACCACTGTGACCAGCAGCAACAAAAATTACTAACGAAGATGTGCATTTTTTTTGTAGATGTTTAAAATGTAAAAACAGTACGGAACACATATTTTTGCTTGTCTTTTATTTTATTCAAGGTGTAAAATACATATTTCAGTTGCAACATAAAGATGTTGAAGATGTAAAATCAATCAATTTAAAGAACAAAGTAATTTTCTTTGAAATTGATCGAGTGGTTTATAGTTACTACTGAGGTACATTTGCATTAACATTTTGGGGAAAAAAGTACTTTTAGGAGTAGTTTTGTTGCACCATAATCTTTACTTTTACATGAATAAAATTATTATTAAATATTGCTACTATTACTTCAGTAATAGATACTCTTCTTGTCATTAATAACTTAAATGAATGGAGAACAATAATCAAAATTGCTTTTTTTGGGTACTCTACCCATTTCTGTAAATATTTTGCATTAGCTATGAGTATTCACCATACAAAAAATAATTTAAAAAACATGTTAAAATGTATCCCTAAAATCACTAAATTATTTTTTGGAACTCCGTGTAAAATGCTTCTGGCTTTTGAAGCTGTATTTTCAGCTTTTCTACAAAAAAAAAAAAAGTCAGATTTCCTTTTTGCTACAATGAACAACATGTTTCCAGAGGTGAGTAGCAAGACTACTCAAGTGCAAAGTGATAAGTTGCCGGCCAAGAAATTACTCAAGTAGGAGTAAAATATAATTTGGCAAAAAGGCTACTTAATAAATTCTGAGTAACTCGTATTAACATCTGATTTAATATTTAAAAATGATGTCGTCAGACAGACTAAAAATTCTGTGCAAATGCTGGTATTTTTGAAACTAAAATGAAAAAAGTGTCACAATATGATTATTTTTAAAAAATGAGCACAAGACACTCTTTTCCAACAAAATGTTCTGTCTTGTGCATTTTTTCTGTTAAAAACATGTTTGTTCTTCAGTCAGTGAAGTTTATCCAAAGATCTTACTCAAGAGTAGCATATGGAGATAAAAAAAGAGTAAGAATTAAAATAAAGTAAAACTACTCCTACAGTAATTTTCCCCAAAAAATGTTACTCACGTAAATGTAGCTAGTTTCCATCCACCTCTGCATGTTTCCTCTTGTTTTTTTTAATCTAGAGCTGCTGCTGTAGCAGAAGCGTCCTCGCTTCTTCGTCTACATATTCGTATATTTCCGTCAACGCTCGGAAAAAGACGGAAGTCAGAAAATCGCGTTCGTTTTTTTCCTTGAGAAGAAGAAGCACGGCTGTGTGGATAGTTGTCACCTGATTTAAGGGATATGGAGTTAAATTTTTAATGGCCTGGGCTGGATTCGAGTACACTAAATCGGACCGTCAGTCTTACGTTGTGGTAAGAAAAGGTCGGCTTCACTTTAACTGCTCTCTGTGTAGCTAATGGCTAGCCAGATGTAAGCTAAAGGAAGAGCAAACAAGTAAAGGAAACCCTGAACCGAGACGTCGAAAGATTACTCTTCGCTTTAGTTGTGGTTAGTAGATTAATTTCTGTTTGCTTTGGTTCCAGCCTGTGTAAAGAGGCTAACTTGTCTCTCCCTCCTCCCTGTGCTGGCTCTGAGGGGCGGTCTCTCCTCTCTTCCAGCCCTGCAGTCAGAGGTATTTGTCTTGTCATGACAGCCATGGCGAGTTTAGAAGCTACATCTGAGCTCCAGTCTCGACTGTCATCCTTGTCCTTTTCATCCTTCCCCGGAGTTACCTCCCATCATTGCGACAGCGAACCGCCGGGCAGGTAACTTGTTGCTCCGAGCTGCTGATGTGTTCTCATCGTTGACTCTATCGTTTTTTTTCCCTTCCTCTTCTTACTGTAAATCTCTTTACTCCAGTCTGCAGAATACCAATCTGACGGAGAGCTTCACCCAATCCAGCAATCAAGCCAGCATGAATGAGACCAAGGAGGATTTGGCCAAGGCATGCTGCAGAGCTGTCAAAAAGTAACAGTAACCTGGAAGTTGAATGTTATTTATTTTGCTATAACGTGCCATATGCATGTGCACTTTCAGGGTAATGAAGAGGCTCCTGCAGAGCTGGCCCTGGGGGAAAGAGGCGAGGAGAACAACAGTGCTGGGACCTGTCAGCTCTCTGCTGAAATCAAAGGTGAGAACCTGCTGAGTGTGCTGACATGGCTGACGCCTTGTTTATTACAGAACTGATTTCCAATCTGTTTTTTGTAAAGCTTTAACCTGCTAATACCATTTTCTCCCTAAGATTTTCAACCTTGACTTTCCAAAGAGCCATTTTTGGCCTCAGGCCAGCTAAAATAAAAGTTGCTTAGAGCTGCAAATTTTACAAGATAGCATTTAAATTATTCTTTAGGGAATTTGTTGCAGTTTTAAAAATCAAGCTAAGCACAATTCTATTTCTATTTTAGTGTGAAATTAAAGAGAAACGTAAAACTTTTACAGAGGAGATATGCATTTTCTTATATAGGATGCCATGGGAAATTATGTAAAAATACAATGACAAGAGAAATGGGTTTAACAAGAATAGCTGGTACTTTTAGTGGAAATTCAATGCATAAAAAAATTTATAAAACATGCATTTGTTATTGTATCTATAAAAAATAATGTAAATAATTCAGCCTTCCTGTTGTTAACTGTAAGTCCTACTCTCTCTTGCTTGCAGCCTAAATGAACCTCAGACATATTGCGACAAGTAAGCCTGCTAATACCATTTTGTCATACAAAATGTTCTTGTACGACATTTTGAAAAATGTCTAAAGCAGGGTCAATGCAAACATTTGACACCCCAATATGAAGTGGTTAGTTTTACAAAAGTACCAAACCCCACTTTTGCCCGTCTAAGCTGAATGATTGATATTATTTTAAATGTAATTTTGGTTGCAGAAACTTCATAATCCATTTTGTGTCAGTTGTTTGTTTATTTATTTTGGATATTTAAAATGTCTTCCGTTTTCAGTGTTAATTGTTTTTTGATCTTTGAGAGGCTTTACTTCCATTAATATGCAATTATTATTATTGTTATATTAATTGAAAATGGCCTCAAAATGACTATATATTGCAATCATTTTTGGGACAATTTATTGTCCAGCTAAATTTGTTCTTGTGACAGACCCACCGACATGCCATAGAATCTGTTTCCTCTGTCTAGTCTTCCTGATTTGAATTTAATAATCTTACTGAGAAAGAAAATTGCTAAATGTTAGCTCTTTTTCCCTCCTTAACAACATCCACACTGAAGAGTGTTCTTGTATGCTGAAATTGACTCTTGGTCAATTCGTCCATCTCCTTAGCTTTCTCCTTGTATGACAACCAAAATTAGTTGAAAAGCACAACAATAGAAAATTAGTAACTGGATTTATGCTTCCCCTCCAAAAATACTGTCTATTTTAGCAACTTTTATGGTTCTTCTGATTATAATTTTAAACACCTCACTGATACTGAATGCCTGAAACTTCTTCCTAGAGTAATTTGTTTTGTTTTAATTATAAATATGTCTAAACGGGCAATGTGTAGTGAGCCATATGCTTTAAAAACACCAAATTTGCTCTCCGCAAACCGATGTTTCTTCCCCACCCAGAGGCAGCCCAGATGCCAACCCTGCCACCTCCAACAACTTGGACATCTGCTGCAGTGAAGGAGCTGAAGGCAAAGCTTCGAACTGAGAAGGACAGCGTTGTGACAGTGTACCGAGGAGACATCATGACGGTCCACGTCCCCACCGTCCCCGAGGCCAAAAAAGTGTGCTGGGAGTTTGCCACAGACGGTTTTGACATTGGCTTTGGCATATATTTTGACTGGACCCCTGTGACGAGCAGATCTATCACGGTGCACATCAGCGAGTCGAGTGATGACGAAGACGAAGAGGAAGAGCTTGAAGGTGAGCTTGGATCAAAGAGTCTTTGGGGTGACATAGGATTAGATACATAAAGCTGCAACTTTTATTACTATTACAAGTCTGAGAATCATCTGTTGTTCAAGCGTTCTAACAATAGATGAGACGCAGGAAAGTTAGAGAACTTATTGCGACCAGCATTGTAAGCTCAGTACAGCCATATTAAAACGAACTAATTTATGTTCATGGTTCCCCTCTGAAACATTCGGAACTGAGTTCACATTTCCTTCCAGTTCTCATCCATTTATCATTAAACAAAGTTGAAGAAATAAATGTAGGTCATGTTATTCAGCAATTACAGCCAAAGTTTTGACTAAAAAGTTGCTCATTTAAGCCATGTTGGTAATTGCGAATACTTTTAAACCACTACAGGATTAGTGTTCCATAAAACCCGAATGATATTGAGGCAAATTAGCTAGCAAAATGTTCCACTGCATATTTTCAACACATCTGTGCTATTATTCAGCTATGCTTGCCTGTTTGATGGACTGAGAGGAAAATTAGAAGTGACAGAATTCAGCTGCACCTTCTCCAGCACATTAACGATAAAACCGGGGTGCAAAACAAACAACAAAAAAAGCCAAATTAAAAAAAACGTTGTTTAATTTAGTGGTTGAGATGGTTAGCTTATTAATCCTCAGTTGATACTCTTAGATTTTAAGCAAAGCTGAAAGTATTATTGTGTAGCTTAAGTGCAAAGACTTTGCGGTTTGCAGCATCTGAACTATGCCTGTGCTGCCTCTGTTAGTGCACACACACAAGCATTCAGTCTTTGTTTTGAAGGTGAAAAGCAGTTCCTATTGGTTAATTTCTGCATAAAATATAAAATAATTTGCCCCAGAGGAGTCTTTCACTCTCCAACTTAAGTTTGTCATGTGAAAAACATTTCTTTTTGTCCACAAGTTACAAAAAATTTAGCTCCACAACACCGATTGCAACTGATATCATCATTGCAGTATTTTAAAAAAATATCCGACAGCTTTAATAACTTTGAAATATGAAAAATTATTCCAGCTCTTGTGAAAAGAATGAATCATATCAGATGTTCAAGTTAGAATAATGTTATTGTGATGCCATGTGTTTATTGTTGTTTTTATGTTGAAGTACAGACTTTGGCAAAAAATCTATAATAAACAGTAAATTTAGAAATTTTCAGCTAAGCATTGTTACTTCACAAACCACTTAAAAAGGTAAATTTTCTGGATTTTGTTTTTAGTGTAACACAAGTTATAAGAAGCTGATGGATTTTGTCAGGGTGTGGTTTCCAATTGCATATCCAAAACAGGTTTTTGTTTCCAAGCTTTGCCTATGACTTTTTTTCCAGTCAGAAATATTTAAAACGCCATGATTTATATTTTTTGTGAGTAAGGAAAACATGTAGAAGCCTTCTGTCGGTGCTCATCAACAGCGATTCCTTTCTATATCATCAGAAAGTGTATTAGAGAAATTCTTATTTGTCTTGAAACAAAAGTTTGTGTTTTTTTTTTTTTTAACGTTGTTGATACTGACAACAAGCTATTGCCCAAGTGTGAGGCAGCATGTTGACATTTTGGTTTATGTGGTGTGTGTGTGTGTGTGTGTGTGTGGCAGGGCCTCTCGGCAACGACGACGTCGAGAGAGGCTCCAAAAGCCAGACCAACTCGAACCTGGCGGAAATCCTGCCTGTGTACCGCCAGGACAGCCATCTGTCCGTCCAGGGCGGGAGCCACGACTTCCCAGGTGAAGGCACGTACCTCCTAAAGTTCGACAACTCCTACTCCCTTTGGAGGAACAAAACTCTCTACTACAGGGTGTATTACAGTGCCTGAGACGCCAGCTCTGTTGCTCACGAATGTATAAATTCCTGAATATTACTCCTAAGAACAATGAACTATTTTCTTTGATTTCAGACATGGAATAAACAAAGATATATAATTTAAGAAATAAATGCAGGCACATCAATTTTATATTTGCTTGTCAGGTTAAATGGGTTTCAGTGCATCATGTGTGTCAGTGTCCTGTTTGAATATAATCAGAGAAGCCTTGCGTTTGTCATGTGCCATATCCCCTCTGTGCTGTTTGGTCAAGTGCCCGTCATAAACCGAATATTGTCTTTACCTGTTACATTTCTATGGTAGCAGCGATCAGGGAGAACCTGCACAGTGTGTGTTTCTCCAGGCCACGTCCTTAATCAGCAGTGCTCTGAAGAAATTATTTTCACGCGTGCGTCTGTATGTATGCACCTTTCTTTTCTTTTTCTCTGTTCCATCGTTGTTTGTTGTGATAATCATTCTGCTTTGTTGTGTAATTTATTTATTTTTTTAATTGAATCTAATCATGTGAATCAGGACTTATAATATATACTGCTCAAAAAAATAAAGGGAACATTTCACTTTAATTTTGTGTGTGGCTCCAAATCCAGGCCCCCATTGGTTAATAAATTTGATTTCCATTGATGATTTTTGTGTGATTTTGTTGTCAGCACATTCAACTTTGTACAGAACAAAGTATTCAATGAGAATATTTCATTCATTCAGATCTAGGATGTGTTATTTGAGTGTTCCCTTTATTTTTTTGAGCATTGTCCATTCTCTACTGGTTCAGTGGGTATGTTGAAGGAAGATTTTAGGTTGCCATACTGAAGTCACAGTTTTTATGGCGCATATAAAAGCCCTCATCAAATATCGCTCTAGATTCAATATTTACCTTTGCTTTGCCAGTGTTTTAATTATCTGTTTTAAACGTAGAGGCCAGTTGCAGTGTTTCATCCACGTGTGTTTTGTAAGTGAAGATCACCGTGCTTATTTTTTGATGTTCTTCGTGTGTTGGGCCACCTTTTTCTTGTAAAGCTGACACTTTATCACTTTCACACATGCGCATTTTTCCAAAGAAGTCACAGATTTGGCTGCTAATGTTGTATGCAATGTAAAGCAACTGTTTTCAAGCTGTTTGCTGCCCCATAACTTCACTTGAAAGTATATTATTTGTTCCTGAAATTTATATTCCACAATAAAGAGAAGATTGTCTAGTTGTCTGTGTCGTTAATTGGATGGAAGGGGAGATATAAAAGTAGCTGTTGGTTCCAAAACGATTACCCTGTAAATACGCTCGTTTAGTTTGCCACATTTTATACCAGTCTCACAGCAGAGCCAGGATTAGCAGGTACTTCAGTGTATTCCCTTGTGTTTCTATTAAATTCCAGCATTAGGGGATTGATGTAATTGTTACGGAGGTGCTGATGTAACCTGGTTTTATTTTAAGAGCTCCCCGAAGGCCAGCCACAGTCCTACAGTAACGTAGCTTCTAAAAGGCAGTAAGACAACAACGTTTTAGTTCCCTTTGTGTGGTGAAACTCCTCTGCAAAATGTTTCTATGAATTATGATTTTAAAACTCGATGGGAGAAAGCTAGAGTAGTGCTGCATTATGAAAGCCCGTTTTCACAATGTTTTGACGGCTCAAAGCAGTGACAGGAAAACATCTTCAACGTCTTAAAATGATAGAAAATGAACATATATTTGCTTTACAGGTTTTTTCAGTTGCTTGATCTTGTCACATTTAATGTTTCAGATTATCAGGTTTTTAACAACAAAGACAGCCCGAGTAAAAACGAAATTCAGTTTTCAAATTATGATTTCCACTTATTAAAGAGGGAAAAAAATGACCTAAACTAATATATCCCTGTCATAGATTAACTGTGATTAACCACATGTTCTAGTTCAATTTTACTAGCCAGCTCGACTATTGAATTAGATCACTTAAATAGTACATCTATTTGAAAAAAATAAAAATAAAAAACAGATGAAAAACACAGGCATTGACATGCTCTTAGGTTTTGGAGCAATATAATAATCCAAATAACAGCTGGTCCACCTCTGCTGAAATGTTTGGTGTAGCCTAGAAAAAGTTTATTGAGATTCTGCAGCATGACCGTAAACAGGCTTGGAGTGATGTGACAAACTCATTACCACTTGGTGACAGTTGTTCCCACTAAACATAGAACCGCTAGTGATCAGTTTTAGGGGCTATTGCATTTTAGAAAGAGTGTCATGTTTGTTTGGAAAGATGTTTTCTCTTAATAAATAAAATTATTGTTTTAAAACAGCATTTTGTATTTACTCTGGTTACCTGTGTCTGACATTATTTTTAGGGTGATCTGGAGTATTTAACTGGTTGTTCAACTCTTCTTCTACACTGGACAAAATATTGGATAAATATTTTATCCAGTGTATAATAAAAAAAATAATATGCATTGTTTTATTTATTGATTTGGTTGCATTTTCTCTTCATTGGGTTATAAAATGTTAAGCTTTTGTTCTTTTTTCCAAAATTCAATTCGTTTTGGAGCTTCTCTTACAATTGTTTTTAACTTCTTTTTTTTTTTTACTTATTTTGCTCTACGATTTACATGCAAATACATAAAAATAAGTAAATTATGCTGTGATTATGGGTGATTTGTCTCTATTGCTTCTCCATCAGCATTTAAAAACTATTATTTCATAGTTGACTATATATTAACATTTCTTATCTGCATGGTACGGAAGAGGATTGGGGCCACTGAAAAAAAAAATAAAACAGTTCTGACTTTAATCTCAGAATTCTGAGAAAAAAGTCAGAATTCTGAGATTAAAGTCAGATTTATTTTTTTTTCTTTTTTCCAGTGGCCCTAATCCTCTTCCGTAGCAAGGCTGTTAAAACGTCAGGTTTCATATTTTCACAAGATGACGGTTGTCTTAAATCTTTAAACAATCTTCGCACGCGGGCTGACTTTGGGTTGATTGATCTTCAGTCCCACGTGCGTTTCTTCTCGAGAGGCCGCAGTGGCGCAGCTCCTAGTTTCACCTCCGCTATTTAAACTTTAATAACGTCCAGGCAAAATGGGGAAACTGAATTTTTATGTTATTTGGTCCCTGCGTGACGCTCCTCGACAGTTTAGTAGGTATGTATTTCGTTTTTTAAGCTAGCACTGAGAGGTTTCTCCTGTCAAGCATTCTAATTCATTGTGTGCGTTTCCGCAGCAAATCTAACAGAAGTCGCTTCCAAGTCCACATCCCGCTGCCTCTCCCCAAACAGTTGGTCATCTTCGGGTTTGGAGACTGGTCGTGCAAATACGCAACATTGTCTGCAGAGGTGGTTGTCAGTGAGGACGTCCAGCCACAGAACATAGGGACTCTGTCCCCACAGATAAAGTACAGTAAGAGTGGATGAAAAGATTAAATGAATGGTTTCTGGGGTGGAAATGCTCAGTTCGTCTCCTTTCCTCTCAGGTGTTTGACGTGGGAAGGTGACTGGAGCGATGACATCATCACAGTGGCTGAAGAGAGAGGCAGGAAAGGAGTGTATGGGAAGATTGTGCTGAAGGCCTGCAGAGAGGTAGGAGAGCCTCATTTCTCATTAAGGCAGTATGGGGTTCCATTTATACTTGCACAAATATTTCTAGCAGATTTAGAACCCAGTGAAGCAGAGATTTAAATAAAACTGGCAGAGAAAAACTGTGCAAACGTTTTATTTGGAGTTCCAAAGCCTCATAAATGGCTTTGTAACCCAATTCAAATTTCCTCCCCAAAAAGTGGAAGTTGTAAAGTTTGCTGAAAATAACAAAACGGTACATCATGGATTTTATTCTGATTTGTTTTGGTAATTCAATAAAAAAACGTACCAAGAAAAAAAAAGGAAAACTAACAGGAATGAATAAGAACACAAAGTGTCGACTGACACTGTTGATCAGATTGTGGGGGTTTAATATTGAGCAGGAGTGATTGTGTGTTGTTTCTCTTGCCACAGGATAACATCGGTGTCAGCAGCACCCCTTTGGCCCAGAAACGCCTGATCTCAGAACAATGCAGTGTGGCTGATCTCTCCAGCTCAATACAAGAAACTCTTGAAACTGAAACGGTGAGACAACTCTACCTCTCTTTTAGAGATGGGCGATAATGGTTTAAAAATAAAATCAGATTTTTGTCAGACCAGGTGTGAATCTGGTTTTAATGACATTTTTATTTTAGTTTCTTTTTCTTTTTTTCCTGTTTCAGAAAGTGACTTTTATCTCAATCATCTCTTCTGGGAGTAGTGAAATTGATTATTAAGAACATTGAAAAATGCAATTTTACCAGAAGAAAATCTTAAAATTATTTTTGCAATTTAATATTTCTGCTACTGCTAATTTTATGCTTATGTATTAAAAGATGAGGTATTCCTACTAAGTATTAAGTATCATCTGTAAAACTAACAAAGTACAACTTAACAAAATGCTCAACATTCCTATTTAAATTTTTGGATTTTTGTGTTGGGGTTCTCATAAAAACACTACTTTATTCTCCTAATATTACAGATTTAATCTGGTAATATGACAACTTTGATCTTCTGATTAAAAAAAATAAATAAATTGTAGCCATAGCCTAATATTCCATCAGAGTGAATTCAAAGTACAAATAAATATAAGCTTTAACATACTTGTCAAACAAGATGGCCGCTCTGGGTGTGCTGACACCACTCTGAACTACGCAAACTTGAGTGCATTGGTGGAGAAAATAAATCCAGATCATCCACAAATTAAATCTTCAAAAATTGAATTAATTGCCCAACCCTACTGTCTTTTTTGGAAATGTGTCACAGTTGTTAATCTCATCCAAAATCTTTGCAGATAATCTCAGAGTCCTCACACATGAGCCATGGTGTTTGCTATTCTAAGTTCCCAGTGATTAAAGTTGAGACCAGCGACTTTCCTCGCCCTGCAGCTCAGCCTTTGGTAAGTGTGTTGGTGTTATTACTGTTAATATCCAAATAAATGTAATGTCTGGAATGTGCTCTGTGCAACTAAAAGGATAAGACACCCAGGCGTACTGTCGTTAATCGGCGAGCCCGCCCGACGTGGAGCTCAGATGAAACAGACAGTCTCACAGAGGACACGGACAAAACTTCCACTTCCAAGAGGAGGAAACTGTGCAGCGTTAGCATCCGGGAGAAAATAACTGAGCAGATTAAAAACGAAAGCAGAGAAGGTGGGAATAACAAACATTACCTGTTAAGTCACAACTGTGTGCACAGAAACTGTGTTCATAGAAGCTGTGATTAGTTTCAGCATGTCCTTCAAAGCGCTGGAGTCACGCTATGTGTCTGAGTGACCCAGATACGGTTGTCCTCATCGGAGGGGAACCTTCGGATCAGAACTACTGTGAGGACTCGCTGTGGAAGCTTGAGTTGGGTCAGTGGAGTTTGCTGATATGCAGGAACTTGAAAAATTATTCAAATTTTTTAATGTTACAACTACAAACTGCAAAGTACATGGTTTGGATATGATAGACCAAATCGTGCATTATGGGAAGTTTGAAGGATGCTGACAATTAAAAAAGGTTATTATGTATTTTGGCTGAACAAAGGGGTGTCTGCAGATCAATTTCCAAGACTTAAGTTTGATATATTTCTGAACTTTTAATTGTCCATTCTCGTACATAAAATGCTTTTATCCATCATAGCTCTGGCTGTATATTTGGGGTTGTCCTGTAGCAGCTTTTTCACTTTTATCAAGTCTTTCGTAGCTTCTAGATTTCAATTATGGGTATCGGAGGAAAGGGGGCTAACTAACTCTGAATGCAAATAATACTTTTTAGATATATATATATTTTTTTTTATTAAAAAGGAAACCCCGTTTTCCTCTTTACTAATAGGCAACTTTGTGTTGGTCTATCATATAAACTCTCAACAGAATACATAGTCTGTTGTCAGAACGATACATTTTGTAGTGCTAAGCCAGACATTCCTGAAGGGTTTTTTTTTTGTTTTTAATTCGGCATTTTGTTTACATCTGTTCAGACAGTGACTTCTGGTTCCCAATGACCTCTTCTGCTTCTGGACCCGTGCCTCCATGTGCCCGAGGACACACGGCGACCTTTGACCCAGACTCTAAGGCAGTCTTTGTGTACGGTGGCCTGAGGGAGAGTCAGCGCTACAGCGAGCTGTACATCCTTAATACTCTGACCTGGAAGTGGAGGCTTGTCACTGTAGGTTTGTTCGAGAATCACCGCTCCTGGACGAAGCCCATTCAGGTGTATCATTTAGTACAGACATTTGAGGAAAACAATATATGTTTTTGTCCACTTAAGATTTTATATATTGAAAGTTGGTGTCATAAGAAAAAAAAGTCATAAAACTACATTACTGCTGCTTGACAGTTTTCGTACTGGATGCTTTGACTTTTGTCTACTTTTAATGCCTTCCAGTTTTGTTTGTACTTGCATTGAAAATTTCTCATTGTAGCTTTCTGTTAAACATCTCTGTGCTGAAAAATCTTTAAAGAAGTTGTATAACGTTTGCGTTCATTATAAATCAGTCAGGCCAAACTATGCTTTAATAATTCATTTACGTTATTAGTTGTATAAAAATATGTAATCCAATATTTTTGTTTTTCAGATTAATGTATAGTTATATCCTGTACTTTATCCATCTAATATGTTTACTATGTTTAGGTTTCATATCAACAGTACTTTTATTTCTGCAAAAAATTAAATGTGTAAAATATTCTCTAAAAAATTTTGGTTACAAATTTCTCCAGTAATAGTATTGACTGTATGTGATTACTAAAATGTAGCCCCTTACAGAAGTACACTTCTTTTTTAAATTATTTTTTGTAAATTTCTTTCTCAAGGCAAAGGGGAAAGTGCCAGCTTTATCATACCATTCAGCAGTTTTCTACCAGAAAGAGCTTTTTGTCTTCGGAGGAGTTCAGCCAATCAACGGACTGGGAGATAAATGCAGCAACGCTCTTTACATCTTCAGCCCAGAATATGAGCTCTGGTACCAGCCCATTGTGGAGGGAGACAAGCCTCTGCCTCGCTTTGGGTCAGTCTGCTTTGTAAAATAGAGTAATTGTGTTTGAAATATTTTGCAATACTGACCCAGGACTTACTGTTCAGGCACTCAGCTACGCTTCTTGGACGGAAACTGGTCATTTTTGGAGGACAAATGACTGCTGCCTACTTAAATGATCTTCATGTTTTAGATCTGGGTAAGCAGCCTGCTTCGATGCAGTCAGTAACAATTTTAAGCTCCAGTCTGCTCTGATGTTTGTGTTTTCTCTCTGAGTGAAGGACTGATGGAGTACACAGCTGTGAAAAGTGCGAACATGCCACCGTTGCCTCGAGGGTGAGTATGGAACAAATCGACCTTGATAAATGTCATCGATGAAGCCATCTGCTTCCAGAATATATATATTTTTGATGTCTTAAATCATCCCATCAAACTATGCTGAAAATAAAATGGTTGAAGCTGCAGATGAAACCCTCTCGCATGTAAATGATCAGGTTTCATGCAGCAGCTCCAGTGTTGGATAACAGGATTTTGATCAGTGGAGGCTGCAGTGCAATTGGAGCTCTACAGGATGTGCATGTCTTCAACACTGGTGAGTGCTGATACTTTGCAATATGCAAGCCTTTGTAGGAAAATAAAATGATGCTGATTTGTAGTCATTTGCTCAGTAATTAAGATTTTCTGCTTTGCTTCCCCCTGTTTAGACACCAGCATGTGGAGCTCAGTGGCATGTCCCCTGCTTTGCTCTAAACCCCGTGCAGGACACAGCATGATAAATTTACAAACTGAGCAAGTTGAAAACAGAAATATCAAGTGCACATTGCTGGTCTTTGGCGGGTCTGACTGCTCTGGTTCTTTCTACAACGACACACAAAAGTTTTGCCTGGAAATTACTGATAAATGATTATATCCATGCAGTCACAGACAACTGATGTGAAAGAAAAGTGGTTTATTTTGCTTTATTCTGGTTTTAAAATCATTCATAATGTCACCTCATATTATGTACTAGGAATACGATGTATGTACTAATACCTGAAGTTTTGCACTTTGCATAACAAATCTTGAATTTGCATGATTTGGACATTACAAATCTGTGAGTTATTGTGTGTTGGTAAAACATTTTTACATAGTGCTGTGGGATATTTTATGAGTTTCATTAATGCTGATTCAATAAAAACACTTGTTTAAAGTACTTTATTTAACAATGCCACACTGTCATCATTTCATGCTTGAAGATCAGCAGGTGTGTCTGGTTGGCGAGATGGATGGCTCAGATTGAAAGCTTCAATCTCAGCCAAAGTCTCATTCAGCCTTTTGATGGTTGGATACTGGCCTACATCCACTTTAAACCTGCAGAAATTTAAAAAACTTGTCATTTTTGTTTAATTAAATGTTTGTGTTCAGCAGGGACTGGACATGCATTACTCACAAAGTTCAGCTTTCAGGGGAAATTTATGGAAAAGTAAGTTCACTCTACAAGGATATTATATTATGAAAGTAGGACATTTAAGCAGAAGCATGCAATGGTTTCTATGGACTTCAGGAACACGCCGGTCACTCGATTCGAGGTAAATCAGTATCCAGCAGCTGTTCCCTAATGATGCAAAGTACCGTTATGCTTTTCTGTTTCTCTATTTCTGTTGCAATCCGCTGATGACATTGAGCAACGTAAGAACATCCTGTTTGAAGCTTTGCAATGGTGAGGTCCTGTTTATCAGCAGTTTGGCATTGTCTTGATCTCATGATGCCAACATGTGAACAGCGTGACTGTTTCAACATTTAATTGTACCAGGAAATGTATAGGTAAATTAATGGATCAAACACCTTTTGTGAATTTTGCTGTTGTCATTGTTGAACAGCAAGTTATGTAAGAAGTACTGAAACTGCATGATTGGACATGTGCATTCATGAGTTAATTTTGTGAGCAGTGCAAGTCCTTAATAAAATTACTCACTTCGTCCTGTTTGAATTACAAATTTGCAAGGATTTTTTTTTTTTACTACTATGTGCAAAACACTGTCCATTTTCCAATGATTGAGCACTATCTTGTAAGATGTTCAAAGCTTGAAATATTGTTTAATAACCTAACCCAGCTTTTAAATTTAGGGAATATAATAATCATCAATTTCCTTCTTTATGTTCATCTTTCACAAAGAAACAGACCGTCTTAATGTGACAGGTGGAAAGTTTACTCACCTCTCTGCATTGTAGACTTGTGGGACTAAACAAATATCTGCCATGGAAATCTAAAATGAAAGTGATAAAATGTAAATTATTGGCTGTATTTAATCTTTTTTTCACATTTGATCTGGTAATCATATTCTTACCTCATTGCCTACACAGTATTTCCCTGCAGTTTGCTTCAGAATTGGTTCTAAAGCTGTAGGAAATCAAAAAACTCCAATAAAGCCCAGTGAAAACATAATTCAGAGCTCTTCTATTAGTCAATGAGAGTCAAAATCTTCCACAAACCTTGAAAACCACGGTTGATGAAATGTTGCGCCCACGGTAACTTTTCTGCTCCGATCTTCTGCAGTACGGATAAATTCTGAAATGCATCAAATGTTGCTATAAATTTCTTTTAGGATATTCAAAGTAGAAGAGAAATCTTTGTTTTATAGCTACCTGAAGAGGCTGTATCCCAGAGGCGATGAGGTCACTAATCATGCGAACCTGGGCACGGGCCTTCGGGTCTGCAGGAAGAAGACGAGGTCCTGGTCTGGTCTCATCAATGTACTGGATCACTGCAAGCTACAGGAACAAACGAAGTGTGTTCAGTATTATAAACATACTTTAAAAAAGTATTCATACCCCTTCAACTTTTTCAAATGTATTTTATTGGGATTTAGTGTCACAAACGCAAAACATTGCTCTGGCTTCTGATCCTGCTGACGACTTGCCCCACCGTGACGCTGCAATCATTTCATTTGAAACGTACCACACAAGACTACTCGAAACTTTTTGGGGAAAATATTTAAGAATCTTTTCTTCTCTTTTCACTCCACAAATACACAGGCAAATGAGTCTGCATAAGATTTGATATTGGAACAGAGGTTCATCTTCCAGCAGGGAAACAACCCTGAACATACAACCAAAGTGACAATGGACTGGTTCAGATTAAAGCATATTTATGTCTTAAAATGGCCTAGTAAATGTTCAACCCTAAATTGAATTTAGAGTCTAACAAGTCTCGAAAAATGATCTTCACATGTACCTTCCTGTCTTAGCTAGAGCTATTTTAAAAGAGCTATTTTAGTTTCTAAAAGTGGAACACTGGTTTAAAAAAAACTTCACGCTGCAACTGCAGTTAAATATGACTCTTTAAATCCATAAATAAAAATCCATACCTCATTTTTCATATTCTTATTTGTAAAAGAAAAACTCTAAAATCTTAACTTTTCCTTGCTCTTTAAACTTGTACTGTTTTACCACAAAAAATTACACAGACATTTGTGGTTGTAAATGGATAAAATTAAGAAAAAGTTCAACAGTTGTGAATACATTCAAAATCCACTGTAAATACTTGTAGGTTGATATGAATAGAGGGCTGCAACCTACCGACTGAGACAGAGTGACGCCATCAATTTCCACTGCAGGAACTTGCTGCATGGGGTTCAGTGTTTTGTATTGCTCTGTAAGCTGAAGTGGACAAAGATTTGCCATCGGTTAAGCTCAAGTATTGGTTAAATATGTTTACCAAATATTTTGTAAGTTATTACAAAATACAAAACAAGATAAAACCATGAGCCGAAATAGTCTGCTTCCAAGTTGGACCTCCTCTGGTTTTAAAGAAAGAAAGTAACATATCTTTAATAGGTGGATCAGGTCTTCTGGACTGAACCTTGTTATAAAGGATTTTATTAAATTTGTCAAAGAAAACCAATCAAATTGAGATCCAGACTCTTTGGTCATGTCATGGAATATACTACATTTCTAAGCTTTGAAAATTACATAATCAAATTGTATTTTTGTTGGCAAAAAGGGCAAAGTCTTCCATCTATATCTGCACATTTCCATCCATCCATCCATCCATCCATCCATCCATCCATCCATCCACCCACAAGGAGAAACGGTGAATGTTTACTGTACCTGCTGACCTCCATCTTTGATTAGATTGACTGCAACCTGGTCATATTCAATGCCCTTAAGAGCAAAAGCTGTGCACAAAAAGTTTAATATCATCTTGTTAACATAACAATGATCTATAAAAGAAAAAAGCTGAGTCATTTTAAGGCATGACTTACCAATCCGGACCCTCCATGAGCAGGAGCTTCTGAAGTATCCATGAAGAACAGGCTAAAGAGAAAAAAAGCATAAACATAGGAAAAGCAGAAAATAAGATAATTTTATATATTCGTGCAGATTAGATTTGATTGGTTCACCTTAGTTTGGGTTGCCATAGCTCTTTGACTCTACCAAATGTCTCTAAACTAGAGTAAATCAAGTTTTGCATGTATTTTTTTGTTCTCTACAAAATCCCATCCTCCTCCAGCAGCCAATAGGATGCATCCCTGAATTCCCTCCTACTTACACTTTGGTCCTTGATTTTGCAACATTCGGGCTTCCTCTGCTTCACATTAAACACACACACTTACACACTCATAGCTAACAGAAAAACAATAAAAATACTACAATACCTTCATTAGGCAAACTAAGGTCAAGCGCATCTCTGGTGTTGTGACGTTTGAAACATCAAAACAAAGTGAACTTGTGGCTTTCAGAACCGACTATTGTGTTGTAAACATTTCGCTCTTAATTCGCATTTCTTAAGCATGTAAGAATTAAAAAACGAAAGCAGAAAAACTGGAGGTGTCTAAAAAACAGCTGCTTGTGATATTTTAACCCTGCTGATTTCAGTTCAGCTGCAGGTTACATAATTTGGCTGGTTTAAAAAGTATGGTGGACGAGTCAGTGTCATAGATGTAGAAGAAAAGATGCTGCACGAGGGTCCGGATCACACGTTTATGGCGCCGCCATGTTGTGAGAGGCATTTAGCTGGGGTTAAAAAAGATTAATTCAAGTAAAAAAGATTCTTTACTTGTATTAAATGATCATTCAGGTAAGGTAATTTTGCATTAAGACTAAGAGGAAAACTGAGGTAGAAAAAAAAACACCTTATATATCTTTTCATTCTCAAGGCTGGATTAAAATCAGTTTAAAACATAACTATTAAATATCAGTACTATTTAAATATCTAGAATTAAAAGAGAAACCCTTTCTTATTTTTTTATCATGACCATTTTTCCTAGCATCCTTTTCAAGAAAATGTTTCTAAAATAATACTATCTAATAGACTTAGGAGAGAAAAGCAAACATGTTCCAGAAAAAGAAACCAAAGTGAACCAGATAACATTGTGTGAATGCTTTAAAGAAAATAACAAATAAATTAATGACAGATTTTCACGTGTAATTTTGCCATGCAGTAAAAAAAAAAGCATAATAAATGAATCACAGATATAAAATACATATTCTAGAGCTGTGCTATATTATTACTAGTCATTGTAATGTTTACTGGTATTAATATTTGAAAAAATACACTTAAATGGTTTTAGATAATATGATAACTGAAAGAGTAGTCAAAGTTAAACAGCTCAATAGACAATATCACAAAAAATTATGAAATTTACTTTTTATGTTACTATAGAGAATGGTGGTAACTGCATAATGCAATAGATTCTCATTCAGTACCTCTTTAAGATAAGTGTATCTTAAGCAGATTCTGTTTCATTGCAGTTGTATTTAAGTTTACATATATTTTTGTAATTTTGTCGGAACAACCTTAATTTCTTGTAAGGGGATTATAAACAAAAAACACAAGAATTGATCAAAGGTAAGCGTTATTGTTTATTTTATTCAGAAAATGCAGTTTTTAACTATGATTTGGATCAGTTACACAGTTGCGCTTGACCCTCACGATATGGCCGTCACGCTGACGTGTCATTACAACTTGGCAGCAATGTGGCATCTACTCTTCTATTTCTATGTTCGTTGTTGACCTGTTTCATATTTACCCAATAGTCAAGCGAGTTATTAAACAAAGGCGGAAATGTGCGTTACATTTAATATTGATTGGACAGATGGTTCAGCAATCAGACCAATCACAGGCCTTTATTTGTGGGCGTGAGCACATACGGGCCAATAGGGAGCCTTTCTTTTTGCTAAGGCCCGCCCCAAGTAATCCATGTCCGTGAGGGAGGATTCTGACTGCTCTTGGACATCGGGCTACCTGCAGGATCTGTGAAATCAGGTTGTCTTGGGAGAAAAACATTTCACCATGGCGGCATTAGCATTAAGATCAGTGCTTAGAACCAAGGTGAGCTTTAATTCGGCTTTAGATCTGTTCAAATTCATTTCATCTGTTGTTTACAAAGTTACAATGTCATGTGCTGCACCATGTGTGCATTGCAGATAAGGGTTAGGAGAAACTTTCATTTTAAATTGATAGTAAAATAAATATTCACCTAAAGTGAGGCTTGTTTAAAATGCACAGATTTACTTGTGTGGTAGTAGTATGCAAGTTCAAGCAATTTGCATTATCAGTGGTACTAATTATTTTCTTTCTGCTTTCATTTCCTCTGTGCCTTCCACTCAGCTTGACTTTGTCCCCCTTTTCATTGCCATGCACTTTGTCGTTGTTTATTAATCTTGTGCTCCAGCAAGCTGCAGCTGGAAATAACTGGTTATATGCACATTTCCATAAATTGGCAAACTAAACCTGCCTTTACAAGTTCTTCATAAAACAATTATAACTTGAAAAAATTTGCAGTTTCTGCTTAGATGTGGTGTGAAGGCTGTAAGCTGAAAAATTTCAGCTGAATAATTCTGAAAAATTCTAGGTTAACATGAGAAAACTTCTAAAAAAAAATTGTAAGAAATGTTAGAAAAGCAGAACTATCTTATCTGGTGAAGAAGCTCAACTTTTACCTGACAAATGTTAAAGAAGCTGAAATCAACACAAAAACAGTTATGAAAAGGTAAAAATAATAGCAGCTACTTAAAAAAAACAAAGTAAGAACTTTGAGCGAATCTACTGAAATATGAGTAACAAAAACTGATAAATAAACAGCAGTGAATGGAAAACAGTTGCTTGAACACAAATCATGGAAAAAGTGCAATTAGACTTGTGATGTGCTGAAGTAGCAGCTTAAAAGTAGAAGAGAAGATTGTCAGAAATCTGCAAAGTAACTTTACTTTCAACTGAAAATTGGTCTAAAAACTGTCAGCGGAGCTTCTATTAAGTGGACGACCTACTGAAACTTGCATTAGAAGATGAAGATCTAAAAAGAAGCAAATGTGGAAAAGAAAAACTGAATTGCTTTCAGTAAGTGAACTTGAGAGACACTGGTGAGTAAAATATTCTGTGGCAAAGCTCAAAATTATAAAATCTAAACGCTTTGTAACAGAAAGACTGTTTGATGGAAAATCATTGTTCTTAGGGAAGAACCTAGTTAAAAAGTCAACATGAAAAGCCTATGTTTTAATGCATAGATTATTATGTATTATCCATGGTGTACAAGTAGAAGTTTGCAACTCTACTGTTAGAGAAAAATCTCCAACTGAGCCAAAACATAATTTTCTAACAACCATTTTCTGAAAATGTTGAACGATATAAACATTTTTATTCATTTGATATTAGCCCAAAGCTTTAACCCTCTAACATTTGAATGATGTTTCTATGTGCAAGAGTGTGGAAATATTTAGGTTTTCAACCATTTCTTGGCTGTAGAAGCATTTGAAGGATTAGATATTTAAAACAAAGAAGCATAAAAGTTAGAATTATAAAAAAAAAAAATCAGAGCTGACGTGTCCTGAGGTAGAAGAACTAATAAATAGCTTCAACTAACTAGCTGAAAAGGTAGTTAAGATTACAGAAAGAGTTGAACGGCAAAAATGTTCAGAAAGAGAATCTCAGTTTGACCTTCCAACCTTTACATTATTACTAAATATCAATTTCTAACAGGTCCATCCTAAAACTGGCCATCTGTGCTATTCCTCCTCCTCAGTGGTGAGTGAAAATACATTTGTTTGTGAATCTAACTCATTCTGGTCCTATTGTGTGATATGGATATGATTTATATTATTTGTCTCCTTGCAGTCTACTGTTAAACTCTTCATCGATGGGAAATTTGTAGAGTCCAAATCCTCAGAATGGCTTGATATTCACAATCCTGTAAGTGCTGTACCAAACCTGAAGAAGTTTTTCAGTGTATTATTTGTAGAAATGCACTAATCAAACTTTTATCGGCCAGAGTTATTTCTGGTTTTCCTTTCGTAACCTTTGATTTTAATAATTTTTTGTTATTTTCTTTATTTTTATAGGACATAAAAAAACATTAGCTGGATAAAGCATATGTTCTTAACCTTTATTTGATTGTTAAATTAAAAATGTGTAAAGAAGGGGTTGCTGTTGGCAGGCGGGTATATAAACGGAGAACGGGGGGAGTTCTCAGTTCCAGCAATGGTTTTCAGTATTTCACCTGACGTTCACCAGTCACAGTTAATAAAGATTAAATTATGTTTTTAATCTCATTTTTACCCGTTTTCTTGTTCTTTGCAGGCTACCAATGAAGTGATTGTCCGTGTCCCCAAAGCCACCCAGGAGGAGATGCTGGCTGCTGTAGACTCCTGCTCCAGAGCCTTTCGCTCCTGGTCTGAGACCTCCATTTTGTCCCGGCAGCAGATCTTCCTGTGCTACCAGCAGCTCATCAAGGACAACATAGTGAGTAAAGAAGGTTGCTCAGCCTGAGATGTCCTAAAACTGGTCAACATCCTGCTGATCAGAGGTCTAAATGTGCTGCTTGTGTTTGATGATGACCGTACCAGTGGAGGTTAGTTCTTGAGCCGAACCCCTGGTTCTGTTTCAGAAAGAACTCGCCAAGTCCATCACATTGGAGCAGGGCAAAACCCTGGCGGACGCAGAAGGAGACGTGTTCAGAGGGTTGCGTAAGTTTCAGTGACATACATGCAGATTCCCTGAACAACATGGAGATAAATATCTACATTTTTATGCACGATGTTGGAAAAATGAAAACAAGTCGTTTAGTAAAAAAGTGACTTCACACAGCCGCAGTATTTAATCGTATTTTCAAATGTTCCTTATAATGAAGATACTTTCATTGAACAAACAGTGGTGAAAATAGTTAAAATAACATCATTAATTGGAATCTATCATTGTCACGATGAATCAATATCTTATTATGATAAGAAATTGTTCACAATAAATGATACGATAAATGCCCACCCCCGTCTCAGTAAGTTAGTCACTCACCGGTAGTAAGGCCGATATGCAGCGTTTTGAAAAAATGAAAACAAAAAACACTCCACCGTTTTGCCACAGAAGAAATATCTTCCTTTGCGTTGCCGTTTCAGAGGTGGTGGAGCACGCCTGCAGCATCACGTCTCTGATGCTGGGAGAAACTCTGCCCTCCATCACCAAGGACATGGACACCTACACCTACCGTCTTCCCATCGGCGTGTGCGCCGGCATTGCCCCCTTCAACTTCCCCGCCATGATCCCCCTGTGGATGTTCCCCATGGGGATGGTGTGCGGCAACACGTACCTGCTGAAGCCGTCGGAGCGCGTGCCGACCTGCGCCATGCTGCTGGCCAAGATGCTGCAGGACGCCGGCGCTCCGGACGGGACGCTGAACGTCATACATGGGCAGCATGCTGGTGAGAGTTGGTTCGAGTTACCTGAAATACGACTGAATATGACTTTTTTTCAATGCTTTTAATTCATAGTTATTCTTCTTTACAGTCTTTATTTTTAGATATGCTACTGCTCTGTGAAAAACTATTACAGAGTTCTTCTGTTTTTGCATCAAATAATGTAAAGAAAACAAGTTCATATTTATTTAGAAACAATGCTAATGTTTTAACTCAGGAATAATTCAGAAATCAA